CATTAAAAAAACAAATAAACATTTGTCAAAAATGGCGAAGGGGCCGGAATTAATTTTAAATGTTGCCGTTTCTTGAAATTTGCAACTCTACATCCTTTCTATAGAAAATTATCTTTATAGAAAGCAATAAACCAATCAAAGCACAGCATTTTTCATAGCACCTAGTGTGCTGTGGAGAATGCCTTGCTCTAATTGGTTTATTGTTTTCTATGGAGATCATTTTCTATAGAAAGTAATGCAAATTTCAAAAAACATCCTAATTTTATATAAAAATTATACAGTATTTATACAGTATGTCCTCGGATTTAGTTTACAGGAAAAAAAATAGTTTTGGTTTTTCTTGATAAAACGTTTTGATCGTATTTATCATTCTTCTACAATCATTTGTGGGTTTTAAGAACTTTGCGGTTATACTTTCTGTAGAAAAAAGTAATCCCGGCGCATTCGCCATTTTTTTAAATTAAAAAACAAATAAACATTTGTCAAAAATGGCGAAGGGGCCGGAATTAATTTTAAATGTTGCCGTTTCTTGAAATTTGCATCCTTTCTATAGAAAATTATCTCTATAGAAAGCAATAAACCAACCAGAGCACAGCATTCTCCATAGCATCTAGTGTGCTGTGGAGAATGCCTTGCTCTAATTGGTTTATTGTTTCCTATGGAGATCATTTTCTATAGAAAGTAATGCAAATTTTAAGAAGCATCCCAATTTTATATAAAAATTATACAGTGTTTATACAGTATGTCCTCAGATTTAGAGATTATTTTCTATAGAAAGTAATGCAAATTTTAAGAAACACCCCAGCTTTCTATAAAAATTATACAGTATTTATACAGTATGTCCTCGGATTTAGTTTACAGGAAAAAAATTAGTTTTGGTTTTTTTTGATAAAACGTTTTGATCGTATTTATCATTCTTCTACAATCATTTGTGGGTTTTAAGAACTTTGCGGTTATACTTTCTGTAGAAAAAAATTAATCCCGGTGCATTCGCCATTTTTGCTGTGGAGAATGCCTTGCTCTAATTGGTTTATTGTTTTCTATGGAGATCATTTTCTATAGAAAGTAATGCAAATTTTAAGAAGCATTCCAATTTTATATAAAAATTATACAGTATGTCCTCGGATTTAGTTTACAGGAAAAAAAATAGTTTTGGTTTTTCTTGATAAAACGTTTTGATCGTTCATTCACATTCACATTAAAAATCAGATTTTATCAACAGGGTTCTAAAAGTTAGGATAACAAAATCTATTTTAAATACTCTGTAGTTAAAATTCTAAGAATAAGTAACAACTTTCAAAGAAAGCGATTTAAAGAAAAGTAATAATCTGTAAAATGTTGACGTTTAACAATATAGGTTATGTACGTGAATGTATTCTACAGTGACCTATAATTTTACAGTTACCTACACTGATTTCGAGCTAAATGCGTTAGGTATGCGGTGTATAATAATTTGTGAATAAAAATAAACACAGAAAGTCATAGACATATGATAATTGTTAAACGGTGGAAAAAGTTATTTCGTGTTTTTTCAAATTTATTAAACCTGTAACTTTTTATTTTAATGTATGTTTAATTTTTATCTTGTCTTTATTTTTTCTACTTGAGTTAGTAAAATGTAGATAAAAGATGATTTTTGATTTAATTTATAAAATAATTGTGGGAAAGTATAAACGCGATTTTTAGTGTATTAGGAAATCGGAGTATGACGGGAAAAATCAATGCTAATAAAATTATGTCCAGAACAATGAATGCTTGTTGTTCTGACAAGTTAAATTGCACCCTCAGTGATTTGTTTTGTAATACAATAAAGGTTTTTCTAACAAAATTGAAAACAAAATCCAAATTGGATTCTCTTCTGTTGAGTTAGATTTGATTGAATAAAAACATAAAACGCCCATTTTAGCAATTTAAATCATGCTGATAGGCTCCACCCTCTAAACTGTCTATCCTGTATTTGTTTGCTCTTTTCATTTTCCTCCATGTACAAACAAGAATGCTCAACATTCTATTATTTCAAACGAACTTCAAACAAAACAAAAACAACCCGACTGAAACAAACGCGATTTTTACTACATAACAAACACATGCACAAACCCAATAAATTTTTAATTTACTTAATTTTATATCATCCCTTACCATCCTCTATTTTCTTTCAATTTTTAGAAATTTACTATGAAATCTTTAATAGTATAACCCAAATGGAATAAAATGTCTACAATTTTCTGAAGAATCCAAAAATTTAATAATATACACGGTGTTGTACCTTTAGTGGATTCGTATTCTGCCAAACCTATGTGAACTAACAGTTATAATACTACAAGGTATAAAGGAGAACTTAATAGGGTGTTTAAAATTTTTTTTTTTTGAATGGTGTTGAAAAATTAATAGTACATTAAAAAACAAAAATGTTGGCGCCTATTTGAGCCCTTAATATTAATATTAAGGTTTGCCTCAATTCATTTGTTGTTTTTCCATTTCAATAACACAGGAATTTTTATTTAAAATAAATAAAATTTTCCCAGTGTGTTTTTATCAAAACGAAGCTTTTTAGGGGGCGTCGCAAAAAATTTAATTTTTAACTACCACCCTAATATATATATGTATATAAATAAAAACTAAGTTTATAGTCTCAGGTTAACAGAATTAAAGTGATTTTACATAAAAAATAATATAAATATGGCCAATGATATTTTTTTGTATTTTATTTGAAAATATTTGAAATTTTTTATTAGTGTTATTTTTGATCGCTGATATCTTTGAAACGGTTGATCTGAAAAACTTTGACCTTCAGATGTTTTTTGTAGAGCGTGAAATTGTCTATAACTCCTCTCGCTTGGGTGTTGCGAAAACAAACCATTATAGTATTAGAACATTAGTTATAAGAATTCAAAATTAAAAAAAATAAAAATTCCAGTGTTATTGAAATGGAAAAACAACAAATGAATTGAGGCAAACCTTAATATTAATATTAAGGGCTCAAATAGGCGCCAACATTGTTGTTTTTTAATGTACTAAACTGCTCGTCATAAAAATCGACGCACCTAGTTTTTTGGAAAATATTTGAAAGCTCGTTATTGGAAAATTACTAAATCGATTTTGAAAATCTTTGGAAATTCTGAATAGCTGATTCTTTGACTCTTTAAAGAAAGAATAACGTGAATTTTCGAAAAATTGCCGTACAATCGTGGTTAGCCAAGATATCCACAAAATCTCGAAAACGTCCCGAGGGATAACCTAACTGTTATTAGGAAGGGGTATTACGACTATCAAGCTCAACTGCCCTGTGAATGGGAATTTGAAATTTTGGGGAAAAAACATCCCTTTTTTAACACCCTGTAGTATAATTCTATGTGCACAATATCTTATTCTCAAAATTAGACGTAAGTCAAAGAATCCACTATTGCCCATTTTTTGGACTAAACTGGGAAATAACGACAATTTTCGATAAATTGGCATATAATCGTAGTAAGCATTCACAAAATCTCGAAAACGTTCCGAGGGATTACCTTACTTATATTAGGGAGGAGTATTACGACTATCAAACTCAATTGCCTCATGAATGGGAATAACTTGAAATTTCGGAAAAAATACATCTCTTCCTTTAACACCCTGTAGTATAATGCTATGTGCAAAATATCGTATTCCCAAAATTTGACATAAGAGTCAAAGAATCAGCTATTCAGAATTTCCAAAGAGTTTCAAAATCGATTCAGTAATTTTTCAATAACGAGCTTTCAAATATTTTCCAAAAAACTAGGTGCGTCGATTTTTATGACTAGCAGTTTATTAATTTTTCAACACCATTAGAAAAAAAATAATTGTTTTTTTTTAAACACCCTAGTACTTAATCTTACCTTTCATTTATTAATAGAAAGGTTTTGAACTATTAAATTTACCTTATTATTTTAAATATTGTATACTAACTGTTATCTAATTTGGTTTTCTATTAGTATTTTATTATAATAATCACATTTTCTGAGTTATGAGCTATTTTTACATAAACTAATAGTTAATCTATGAAAGTAATTATAATGTTAGCATATGATTATGGGATATTTTGCTTTATAACTATTAATCTTTATTGTTACTATCCTAAAATATGTATTACTTTCTATAAGATAATAGTAAAATGACAGTTCTCTAATACTTAGGTTACTATCCACTAACTGTAGGGATTAGGGAACCTCTCGTTTGAAAAACTAACATAATTCACTTTTTTTACTACAAAAGTAATTACTTATATGTACTTACTCTTCAACTCAGGAATTAAACTAGCTAAACCCCAAAGTTCTAATAATTGTGTTCTGGTCTGCCATTGTATCAACCTCACAGCATTAACATTACCACTGATTTAGGCGTACATCATGCCTATATTAGTTATTATCAGCTGATATATCAGCTGTTAATTACTCATTCGCTAATAGTTACCTTTTTAGGTTTTGCACAACTCGGTTATAATGATAATTTATCTCCTAAAAGTTATTTTTTGATTAATATTATAAAGAATATTATATTTTGCAATAACATTCAAATGCTGATAATTAATGCAACTTATATTTATTATCAGCACACCAAGGTATAAGTTTATTTTAATTTTATTATAATTTCTGATATTTTCCTAAATATTTGGAACAAACTGAGTATAATATCAACAAACCTACATGCACTAACATTAAATCAATAGCCTTTAACTTATATCAGTTTACTATTAAGAAAACCACATTCTATTATTTAGAATACAATTTTTAAAATAATTTTAGTAATATATTTAGTATATTACTATATAACTAATTTTGTTATAACTATATATAGTTAATCGGGCATTTTAAATAATGTATTGTGCCAAAACAATGTATTGTATATAAAAAAGCATTAATCTTGTTAGACGTGGAGATCGTGTGATTTTTCCGACACCCCACTGGAATTCCTAACGAAGCCTAATAATTTTCCTCGCTCAGCATTGTCCGATTGCGTTGATTAACGTAAAAGTTTTGCAGTTATTTTAACGGAAAAAGAGGACATCGAAGACAGTCTAAGCAGTTCGAGGCGATCGCCGGCGCTTGGAAATTCGATCAAATCGACCACCAAACAGAGGCGGTCGAGAACTAACTTCACCTTGGAGCAATTAAACGAATTGGAACGACTGTTTGACGAGACCCATTACCCTGATGCTTTTATGAGAGAAGAACTAAGCCAAAGACTGGGATTAAGCGAGGCCAGAGTACAGGTACGCTTTTTTCGATTTTCTTTATAAATATAAAATATATATGTATGTAAGCAATTGGTAATTGGATTATATTTATCGAAAAAAAATGTGAACGTTTATTGTGATATATTCTCGCCTTAAGTGAACATTCTGCCCCTCGTTTTATGAAAAATGGACATTTAGACAAAGTAAATTTGACCATAAAATCAATAAAACATTTATTCGAGATAAATCAATGATGGTCATTCCATAAATAAGGGAATAAACTACCGAGACGTTTAAGTGTGTAGTTGGGAACATTTCTTTTAACCTTTTCGGGGAGTTTGCCCAATTTATTTAGACTAATGCTACTATTAGCAGATAATTTCCTAATGAATACGTACGATGTGAACAAAATAAAATGGAAATCAAATCAATTAGGCGGCAGATTAACGACTTGGGGGAACTATTCGCAGTGATTGATTGCACTTTTCTAAACACCAGGCACTTTCATCCACAAACACTTTACATCTCCGAATTAACATGGTCATGGTCTTGAAATTTGTGAGTTTGCAAACTTTCTATAGAAAATGATCTCTATAGAAAGAAATAAACCAATCAGGACACGGCATTCTCCACAGCACACTACTCAATAAACAATTTATACTACTTATGGTAACGATAAATTATATAAAGGTTATATAAGAATTGTCAAATTATATAAGAGTTTAACAAGGTTTTATAAAATCGCCATTTAGTTTACTAATTTTATAATGGTCTTATAAGGTTACTGCAGTAAACTCTCGGTATATAATTAGGTTATATAATTGTTTCTACAAACAAAGGTTTATAAAGGAGTTTTATAAAGTTTGCGGTTACCTGTTTTATACAACTATTCTGTCTAATTTTTTTAAATAAAAATTTTGAGTTATTAATTATTTATGTGCTTAATAAATCAAAAAGGTTTAGTAATTGAAACAGAAATTAAGCATAGTATAATACTATTAGTATTAGCTTTCGAAGCAGTGCTTTTTCATAATTTTAATTAAAAATTGGTTGAAAAGAAAATATTTAGCATAGAATATATAAGTAATATAATATCATTAACATAAATATTTTGAATGTTTAGTGAAATAATTTGATTTCATTGGGTTAAACCATTATAACTGCAGGCAAAAATGGCGAACCTGACAACTTTTATAAACTCCCCAAATAAGCTCTTTAAGGGGTATATAAGGGTGATATGAATATTTCTGTAACCAAATTAAGAAATTTAGGTTTTATAATTTGGATGATATAACATTTATGGAAACCACTATAAAAACAAAAATGTTTATTGGGTAGCTACGATAGAGAATCACCATTTAATAAATTGACAGTATTAACTGTATCTTTTTATTCGTTTAAAAGCCTAGGGATTATTTTACCTTTTCGCTGGGATACCCGATAAATAAATCACTCTGTGTTTGATTGCCGCATTTCCAAATTGAAGTTTTAAGTGTGCATTAAGTTAAAGGGGGAGCCTAGGATGAAATCGCTCCTCAAAAATCTATTAATTTTAAGGTGGAAACGCTCGAAACTTGCGCAATAATTTAATTCGTCTAATAATTGGTTAACTTGTTTAATTGTGCGTTTAAACTGTTTTCATAACTTTTCGTATTAGGCCGCACTTAAAACTGTTTTAAAGAATTTTTATGTTTTGATGTTTTTAGGTGTGGTTTCAAAACAGAAGGGCAAAATGTAGAAAACACGAAAGTCAAATGCAAAAAGGTAAGCACTGTAAATATTGGGCCCCAATGGGGGCTGCCTAATAAACGTATCTACCATTGCCCGAGATCATTTAAATTAAAAACAATTTTGAAAAAAATTTGCAATGTCCTAAAAGACATTTAATTGACTAATCACTAATAAATAGACATGCAACAATATATAAGACATATTTTTGCAGAACAAGTTACACTCTACAAAAAAGGTATTCTCGGTTTTTTTCGTAAAACCATCCATTTATTTAAATTATATCTGTGAAAATTTAAAATAAATCTTTCTTTTTTTTTGAATTTACGAGTGTTTTTATTTGGGCATCATCTAAATTATTTAGAATCCAAAAGCAATTTAAAAAAACATATTTTTTTCAATGCCTAAATAATGATTTAATATATTTTAAACTTTGACCTTATTTAAAAGGAAAAAATTATACAAAAAAAATATTTAAAGTATCATTATTTAGGCAGGGTTAAACAACATTTGAAAAAAAATGTTTTCAAAATTGTTTTTAAACTGTAAACGAATAATTTAGATGACACCCAATTTAAAAAAAAGACAAATAAAGCCAATTTATTAATTTCAAACATTGACCTCCGGTAAAATTTAAAAGACTTTTTTGTAAAGCGTAAAATTTCCTACAAAAATATGTGTTCCTTATTGTTGCATGTTTATTAATTAACAAGTTATGAATATTTTCTTATGTCATTAAAATGTCATTTAGGCTCGGTTTAACGAACACATACAAGTATTTAATATACCTTAATAATACCTAAAAAGTTTACTATAAGTTAGTTTTAGAGTAAACGAAAATGGTAAAATAACGGTACAAATACGAAAGATTACCAAATATTTACGTAAAAATACCCTTAAAATTACTTCATATCTGTTCTGTCTTTTTAAACCTTTAACATTTATATTTTCTATGTCTGTTTAATTTATAATTTAAAATGGTATAACTAGAGAAAACTCAAATATTATTGATAAAAATACATCATAACATAATTATTTAAAGCCTAAAAAAACGTTTATTTTGAATAACTTCATAATGATTTCAAGATTATATATTACTTTTTCTAGAATATTTGTAAAAAATAATAAAATATAAATTTTTATTAAATAGATACTGGATAACATATCGTCTTTTTTTAGTTTTTGTCACTTTGTCATTTGGTATTAGGGTTTTAAAATTTCCTGTAAAATTGATCCTGCGGAAAAAAACCGATTTATTCCGGAAAAATTATTTATTCAAAGGGTAATATGAAAAAATGCAAAAGTCAATTTTTCTGAAAATTTACAAATTTTTACGGATACTGATATCGAGAAAAAAGTGAATTTTCGACGCTGAGTATAAACATAATATTATGATCATAATAATTATTCATTTTATTTTAATTCAGTAAGATTATTCTACCGGGTCGAAAAAAACATATTCAGTGCTGTATTAACATAACCTTTGTTTTATTTGTCACTACGATTTATAAAATTATAATTTTGTAATGAAACTTTATGAATCATTTATTATTTTGTAATTGTATATCTAACGTTTACGTTTATTTTCTTAAATAATGTTAATTCAATTCAATGTTTAGTTTTATTTTTTTTCTGTATGGATATTTTTTTAAATTAAGAAATTGTCAAGTTGTTGATTGCCACTTTTTTCAAATGTGTATATTTCCCCAATTTTTTCGACACTTAAAAAAACTGCCAAAACTGCAAAAATTTTAAAAAATTACATTTTGGCATTTTTACACATTTAGGTGACTATATTTAATAAATTTAGTTTTTGCTTAAGTCTATTAATAGTTTTTAAAAAGTTATACGGTTATAAAGTCCCAAGCAGTATTTTAAGTAAAAGCGTAGAGCTTTGAGGCAATATTACTTAATTTAAGTAAATATTTTGTTAAATTAACCTTAAAAATTTACTTTGAAGTTATTTATTAAGTTTTATTTATGGTATTTTTACGTATTTTAATAACCCTTAAGTTTCAACACTATTAGGAGTGTATTTCACCTAAAGAAAAATTTAACGGTAATTTTAACGTTAGAATTTTTACTTAATGGTAAATGTTATTCATAAGTCATAATTTTACGATATTAAGACCACTTTATAACCGTAAATAATTCCTATTCGCCTGGTATTTTTTAGGGTTATTATTGGTAATAAATAATATTATTATTGACTAAACAAGGAAAAATAAGCTTAAAGTGAAAAATAAAACTTTCAGGTTACTTATCTAAACATTTATATAATATTTTTTCATAAATATTTTTCTAAAATATAATTAGGACAGTTGGGTTGGGTTGGGTTGGGTAAATTATTTTTAAAATTTTGTAGGTTTTAAGTTTTGTTGAATATTTACCCAAGCAATAATTTTTCTTAAAACCGTAAAGTATTTAGAGGGCATATAATTTTTAAGATGTATCGTGCCTATTTTTATCAATAAAATAATGTGCGTTTGAGTTTTTAATGCAAAATATTATTAGTTTTGACAATTTAAGTTATATTTTTTAATTTTACTCTAGGGTGGCCTTTATTACTTTGTAAGTACCATTTTGTAAAATATAAATTAAAAGAACAAAGTAATACGAATGTCAATGTTTTAGACAGTGAGAGCAAACAGTTAGCAATTATAGCGTTATTTTTACGTAAATTTGTGGTATTTATTTTGTTTTTATTGCGTTATTCTCTTAGTAGATCAAAAAGGTTATTATAATAGGTAGGTAAAATAGCGATATAAACCATTCCCAAATTTGGTAATTTTTCGTATCTATACCGTTATAAAACCGTTTTGGTTAACAGTAAAAAGTACTTTAAAGTTGACTTGGTAGTAAATTTGTAGTTATTGAAACTTAAAATGCTGCTTGGGGTGGTTTTAATATAGAAAAAATATGACTAAATATTAAAGTTAAATTTAAATAAAAGAACCTTAAGTAATTTTTCTAGGTAAAAATTACTTTAAATAAACAAAATTTAAATACTTTCACTATTATAATACTTGACAATATTTTTTACTTTAATGAGGGTTTTTAAGGTTAATTTACTTAAAATTTATTAAAATGCTGCCTGGGATTATACATTGTAAATCGTTAATTTTGTTTTTTCTTATTTTGTGTACGCTTTAAGAAAGTAGTAAAATCACGTCAAGTGTTTTTTAATTTGATAATTGTTCGGTAAGATTCCCTGTGGGGATAAAGGAGGGTGAAAAAAAATCGTAGTAAACTGTAAGCAATGTAGCGTGAGGGGGTGGTTGTAGGTGTGCAAAAAGGGGCCGAGCAGTGGAAAGTGAGTGTGTTGATATACTGGAGGAGCACTAAGTGTAATTTAGCGCACCCCTGGGCCAGCGCTCCCGCGCTGGACCAGTCGTCTTAGGCTCGCCATTTGAATGACTGAGCGCTGTAAAATTGCCCTCCCGGGGAATTATTTCATTTGATTGAAAACTTTCTCTCTAAGCTGCATTTTTTTAGTTCACTCTTGTATATACAAATTCGATTATGCGCCGCAGATTTGTTAAGGGAAATATAACCATGACGTATTCATGACTAACAAGAATTATGAGGGTACAGTTTTGGTTTAAAGATGATTTCAGTAACAAATTGCTGCCTCTTCTAAATAATTTAATGTTCTAACTCGAATTTATGATTCTGCAAAACTTCCCAACAACCCGCCAGCTCGCCACTCCGCGCTCCTTGGCACCATTTTCAGCTCAACCATTACTTTTAATACCAGTTATATTTCCATTAAAATACCATTCCATTCTTTATTACTTCATTTTTTGCTCCTTTACACCCATTACATTATTACACGATCTCTTCTCCTCCATTTTTAAACAATCCTCTTCAAATTATTTTGCTCTTTCGATTTTACATCATGGAATAGTATATTACACTACAAGGGCAGAAAGTGTGAGATTCATGGCGCGCAGTTCAGGGCTCTCACACTTTCTGCCCGTGAAGTGTATACTATTTTTCTCGCTACCCGGCCGAAAATACAACCCAACCCAACCCGGCCGAAAATACGGGAAAAAATTAAATGTGTATATCGAAACATATTGATGCCTGCCCCGACATTTGCGGCACGAGCGAAGCCTTCGTAGCCCTTGTAGTGTAATATACTCGAAAATACGTTGTTTCGTCCCCGATTCCAATGCATCAAACGTAAATTTGACCAATGCATCAAACGTAAACTTTCTGCCGTGGAATCGGGGACGAAACAACGTATTTTCGGCCGAGGTAGTAAGAAAAGATGTTTTTAGCACTTTTATATGAGGCACAGTGTTGTAACGTAACTAGTTACAAGTAACTAGATACAGTATCTAGATACTTTTTATGTATCTGTTTGTGTAACTAGTTACTTATCCCAATCTAGTAACTATAATTGTAACTAGTTACAAATTCTAAGTAACTAGGTGTGCTAAGATACAAAGATACATTTTTAATTAAACTGCGACTATAATTTATTAAAAAAAAATATTATAAAAAATAAGTTATTTTAAATTAAATATTATAAAAAAAATAAAAATAATAAACATATATATTTTTGTTGTCACTTTAAAATTCCCTTTTATTTCTATTTTAAAATTTTTAAAGCAAAAAATAATTTGTATGTATCTTAAAGTATCTAGATACTTTTTGAAGGTAACTGTATCTGTAACTAGTTACTGCAATAAAATATGTATCTGTATCTGTATCTAGTTACAAATTTTGGTAAGTAACTGTAACTGTAGCTAGATACTGAAAATATTGTAACTGTTACAACACTGATGAGGCACCATGACAATTGTCATGGAACATACCTATGGCGAAAATTCCCGTTATTTTTTGAACAAACCTCGTATAAATATTTTTTCGAATCGTATCAACTTATATAAAAATTATATTTTAAAATATACAGGGTGGTACCATATAAGTTAACGATTCGAAAAAATATTTATACGAGGTTTGTTCAAAAAATAACGGGAATTTTCGTTTTTTGAAAAAAATATTTATATATTCGTCTACATTAAAGTTGTTGCCTTCAAAATAGTCCCCATTAGATATTTTTAGAGTTGGGGATGGTCAATTGACCGCTACCTATTTGACCGGTCAAAATATATTTAATTTTTGCAGCATTTTATTTAGGTATCCACGATTACCCGTGAATCTCAAAATTTTTGCGATCGTGCAATATCGACATCATTTACAATTTGGTGGTTCCCCGAGTCGAGGGGTTGCTAGGCCGGACGGCGCTTTGCCCTTAAAGCGGGACATATACTTTTTTAATAGAGAAACATAACTTTTTAAAGTCGCACAAACGTTTCTAAAGATGGACATAACTTTTAGAATAACTGGTCAATTGACCAAAAACAATTTGACCGGTCAATTCCACAACCCTAGATATTATGCACTTGTGCCAGCGCTTCTTCTAATCCTCTAAACTCTTCTCAAACACGATCTTTGGGATAGTCTTTAGTTCTTTCCAGGGTTGTGGAATTGACCGGTCAAATTGTTTTTGGTCAATTGACCAGTAAATTGACCGGTCAATTGACCAAAATAAAATTAAATAAAATATCAAAATAAATATTACTGTGATTAATTTGTACTTAATAAATAGGTAATTAAAATACGTTACCAAATTTAAAAATTCCCGTTATTTTCTGAACACACCTCGTATTGAATTTATATGAACTTGTATAAAACATATATTTTAAAATATTACTTCTATATTGTTTTTTCTGCAAAACATTTTATATATATATCATGTCACATGTCACTGCAGAGAGTAGCAGTTGTAGGTATTATAATTGTATACAATTTGTCATATACCTGCCAGAAAATAAAGTCAAAGGTATCAATAAGTTAAATAAAAACTATTGCATAGTAATTTCCAAATTAATTTAATTATAATTATTATCATGCCGGCCCAAGTCTGTGATTTATAGGTACCTATTCACACCCTTGCACCGAACATGAATAGACAGCATCACTTTGTAACGAGTTTATAAAAAGGGATTTGACCCCATTTGTAAATGCAATTGCAACATTTTATGACCGGGGGATGTTTTATTGCTTATAGACTTCTATTTGATTAAAACGCTATATTTTGCTTTATGCGGATTAAATTAAAATTTAATATACATCCCGTGCATTTGAAATGCTAAATTTTAACCACATTATTTATTTTAAAGGAATTATGATGAACAACCACAGCCCTCCAGCTAGTACCCCCTTGGAACCCTGTAGGGTGGTACCCTATATGAATGTACCCGCTCTGAGAGGGCTCACCTTAACCCCTAGCTCTGTAGCCCTGTCTAATTACGAAAGAATATCAAGTGCTTCGTTTACACAGCAAGGGACAGCCTTTTCTGCCATTAACTCTGCATTTATATCAGCTGCACATCAGGTAAATATCGCAATTTTATATATTTGCCAATTTTGAAGTCTTTATTTCAGTATGCAGCTGCAGTAGCTGTTAGCGGCAATCCCGCTGCTAGTATATTGTGTCATCCTCAGTATCCATTGGAGTTTGCTGCCCTTTCGGTTGCTCATAAAAATTCCAGCATAGCAGATTTGAGATTGAAAGCCAAAAAGCACGCTGAAGCTTTAGGGTTATCGCCAAGAGAAAAACAGCAAAATTAAGTGTTCATTTTATATACAGACTTTATTATACTGTATAATACAGCATAATAAAATCTGTATTTATTTTTTTTTGTATGTTGTAACATTTTTTTGGTTATAATCGAATATTGTGATTTTTAGCGTAGAACTGTTTAATGTCAACACATTGTTTATTCGATAAAATTGTAAATATATTTTTATTTCTACTAAATATAGCGTCACAAATTATTTGTTTTAGTAATTTACCCATACCATGCTTCCATTTCTAGTAGCCAAAAAAATAATAAATAAATATGCAAAATCTGTTATAAAATTCCTTATATTTAAGTTAAGTATTATTTGAAGATTAAAGAAAGAATCTATAAATAGCACAACGGTTTTTGTATTGTTCATATTTTATAGGAGGAAGGGAGAAAGACAATCTATAAATCAGGCTTTACATTTAAATGTAATGTGAATATGTTTGTGTTAAAAATGTATCAATTTAAATTTGTTAAAAAAAAGTTATTGGTTTAAATTTGTAAAGACATTTAAATAAGTCTATAATTTTTTAATCCAAAAATTACCACTTTAAAATTTAAATGTAATGTGAGAATTTTTGTATTAAAAAGGTATCAACTATCATTTAATAAATAAAATATTAAAACTATAATTTAAAAAAAACAAACAATATTTTAAACTAAATCTTATATCTTTTATATTTAAAATATTTTTAGATTATCAAATGTTTTGAGTTTAAAAAAATGTTACTTTTTAAACTATTTTGGAAAAAAATGTTTTATATGTGTTTTTATTTTAAATGTCTCTTCACTATTTTTTAATACTAAAAAATTTAACTTAACTAATTTAATCTAAATATTTATTAAGATTTAAAAAATTCTGCCCAAATAAATTATTTTTATTAAAAAATTATGCTTAGAAAAATTTGCAAATATTGATTGGAAATAATATTGTTTATTACAGAAGTGAATTTTGTCTTTCAATAGTCGACAGTTGAAAATATTTTAAATTTAAACATTTTAAACCAAGTTTTAAATTAAAAAATTATTTAATAAATAAAATAAATTTTTATTTTATACCGCCAAAGAATATACGTTAAAATTAAAAAAAAATTGTCCAAAAATTTAAAAAGATTTTGATTTTATTATTTTTTTTCGCCAATATTAAAGTCAAAAAATATTTTTTAGATAGTCATATTATAAGAAAAAGTTGAACCTCGACCTCGCCAAAGTTTTTTGTTTTGAGTGCGTTCCACCAACTTCTAATACCGACAGACAGCTGTTTCGACCTACATATATTGGGTCCAGAGCTGCAAGCTCTCAGAAAACTTAAATCGTTTTTTGATTTAAATCGTTTTAATGACTTAAGTCATTTGGTAATAAGTCATTTCTCTAAAACTGACTTAAGACTTAAAATTTAAGTAATTTTCAAAATGATTTTTGACTTAAATATTTTTTCAAAATAGAAAAAACTTAAGTCATTAATAAAAGGCTTAAATCAGTACATACGATTTAAGTCAGATAGAAACGATTTAAGTCAAAAAAAGAATTAAGTCTTTATAAAAGTCGGTAAATTATTTAAATAATTTTTTTGAAAAAGATTTAAGTCTTTTTAGAAAATATTGAAGTCAGATTTTTCATATATTTTTTTGTAAATTTTTAACAGCGGCATTTTCTTTTGAACTGCCAGGGGTTCACGCAGCAGCAGATCAAAAACTCCTTTAATTTCCTACCTACAATTGATACCGCTAGTGAATAAAAAAACCGCCGCGGTAAAGTTAGCTTTTCGGAACCGTTTGACGGCTACATTAAAAAGTGTCCTGTCTAAAATGAATGAAAAGGAGTGGGGATTTATAATTTTGTTATTTTGTTTGCCAACATTCGTCGTGTTATGCGTGCGTAGTTAGGTCTAATTTGTGATTATTGGTGCAAAGTGGAAACAAACGATTAACAGGTAAGGACGAATAAATATTATATCATATAGGGTGTTTCGGTTTGATTAAGTAAATAATTACGACAAAAAAAGTGATTGTGCGTGAATAAAATTATTCGAACGTGATATCACGCACAATATTGTGCGTGAACGTGAGAAGTCTTGAATTATTACAGTCGTCAGTGGTCGTAAATCGTGAACAATCGTGAATCGGGAGTAGTCGTGAGCGGTCGTAAGGAGTCGTAAATCTTGAGCGGTCGTGAATCGAGAGTTTGAAACCTCCCATCATTACTCCCTTAAGGGAGGAATATTTTTTTTCTAGATGGATGTTGATCCAGCTAACAAAAGTTAACAAAACAACAAGTTATCAGTTTTTGAAATACAGCGATTTTAAGAAAAATGCTTTAACTTTTATCTATTTTAACAGAGTTTGAATCTATTACCGTTTAGAAGTTACCCATTTATGTATATAATAAAGTATGTCTATTCTACTAAACAATGTGTTTTAAGTTTTTATTTTGTTTGTAAGTAAAAATAAATCGTTTTAAATTCTTAACATAGTGGTTTATTATCATCTGTATCTACAATAGATTAATAATATCAGTATCATTAATACCATAAAATTATTATTAAGTAACATTTAAAAAATCGTTGTATTGACTTAAGGATAATTATTTTGATTTAAATCACAATTTTTGATTCAAGTCATTTTATTGACTTAACTCTTAGATCACGATTTAAATAAAAAATATAGACTTAAGTCATAAAAACGACTTACTAAAGGAATTAAGTCATAAGATGACTTAATTAAGTCACAATATTGATTTAAGAATTTGCGAAAATCACTTGACTTGAAAGAAAATGATTTAATTCAAAGACTTAATACCTACTTAAATCATTTGAACTTTATTTTGGAATTGACTTAAGATTTAAATCATTTTGATTTTAGAATTGACTTAAGACTTAAGATGTAAGTCTTTTTAAAACTGACTTGTTGCAGCTCTGATTGGGTCTCATCAGTGTCAGGCAACTTGGTGTAGTGGAACACACCCAACACAAAGCATTCCCAGAGCTTATATACCCAGCTAGCACAAGTCTGTCCTAAGGACATCCTAAGGAAAGCCTTACAGGATATTGGGATATCCCAAGGATATCCTAGGACGTCCTCAGACCTCCTCAGGACATCCCAACCATGGCCGAGTGGTGCAAAAAAGGCCAGCCTACAGACGTCCCGCAAATGGCCTTTAGGATATCCCAGGGATATCCCTACGTCCATATAGGACCAGGAATGGGATGTCCTGAGGACATCCTCTGAATGGCCTTGTTATTTGTTGGGGATACATTTTAAACAATCAAATACCATTTTATTACTTTATAAAATATATTATTTTAATTCTGTATACATATATATAATTTTACACAGCCAATTATATAAAATAAAAAATAAACACCTATTATAAAAATAAAATAAATAATAATTCTAAATAAATATAATAGTTATATTATTTATATATACACAGTGTCCAAAGTTATCTGCTCACCATTTTAACTCCATTATTATTGCAGCTACAAAGTCGGTTAAATTAGCAAATTAGTGGCATTTTTTCTTCTGATTAAAATGGTTAAGACAGAATAACAATTGAACATCAGGTTTCTGAAGTAATTACAAAAATAACATTTTATTAAATAAAAAGACAACTTAATATGGAACAAAAAATTATTATTGCATAACTACCCTAAACTTAAAAATAAACAATTAATAAGCACTGGAACTTTCTGATTGTTGTTGAAATATCCAACACTATAATAATATTATATTATAACAAACACACGAGATTCACGGCCTTAAACCAGGTTCACGACACAGAAAAAGAATTCACGGCACAGACAAAGAATTCCTTTCACAGTGTTATCTATGATTCTTTCTAACAAAAAGACCCCAAACAACTAAAGGACGCTATACGACATGATACTTTGTATCATGGCTATACGACATCTTAGCTTTCTCTCCATCCAGTGTTACCACCATAGACAATAGTTACCACCATAACGTATGGCGGCAAATTTAAAACAATCGGTAACACAAACTATTAAATAAGTTATAGATAGCGTTTGTAATTACATTTTTAAGGTTAACTGACGCTTACTCCCTTATTTATTATTTATAAAACTCTAAATGTATCAGTACAAACAAGGTGTTTGAACAATTATTAATTACCACCCGTCATTTCTGCGCATGCGTATTAAGTTGGCTGCTATCCAGTTGTATACAAAATATATTTTATGGTCATATACCTAACAAATACACAAAATATAATATTGTTTTTAAACTCCCGCCTTTAAAACGCCGATTCCATGATATTTTAAATACACATTGACAAGTTGTGGCTTTATGGCGTTTTAGTCACGGGCTGAAGTTGGCAGCAATGGCATTCGGACTTTTTAGTCATGGGTTGAAGTTAATTGCAGTTGTCAACTGCGAAACAATGACCATCAAAATAAAGGGTCTAAAAAGTGAGGTTAGAATAGACTGGTCGATGTCAGATTTTATAAATAATTATTAATATATAATTGTTGAAAGTTATTTAATTTTTGTGATTGTCGTAGAAAAAATATAGTTTATAAACTTAAAAAAATCTATATAATATAATATTATAATTATATTGATTAACATTTTTAAGATGTGCCTATGCAAAATAAGTTATGTAAAAAAATGTAGGTATTATTAATTATATGGATAAAATATTCTTATAGAAAAAATGTTTACCAAAACCTAACGGGACATTCTGAGGATGTCTCTGGGATTAGTCCTATGATCAGCCCATTTTAGGCTTTAATTAGGATATTATTAGGTCCTAACGACATCCTTAAATGACGTTCCTAGGATATCCCAAAATGGGACCTTCAAAAGATCTAATGTCCGATAAGGTCAACCTATGGACGTCCTCAGGAAGTCCTTATAGGATCATCCCATTCTGGGACATTTAGGCTGGTCCAAGGACGTCCTGAGGATGTTTGTGCTTGCTGGGTACTGGGTTGCCAACAGAGGCGAGATGTAAGAACATCACGTGATCCTCACCGTCTAACGACGTGGCCTTTGCCTTTTTTTTCTTATGAATATAACCAGTAATGGGTCAATAAAGTTTCTTTTAGAAACTAAGAAAATTTAATAATTATAGTCATATTAGTTGTTTTAAATTAATTTTGTTAATTATTGACAAAATTATGTTTCTTAGGTTTAAATAAAACTCTTAATTATATTTAAATTAAATTTGGTTTCTTTATTTAATTTTTGTAAAAAAAATGATGATAAAATTCGTGATAGTTTTGTGATGTAAAGTCTAATACACAAAAAACTTAAAAGTATATGTACAAGTATATTTAAAAATAAAACGAAGTAAGGAGGGAAATTGGTGCGACAGTGGAAAACATTTGAACCCTTTTAGCATTTTATTCGGGGGTTAATTTCTTGGGCTAGTCCACCCCAAGCCAATTTAAACATTCTATTGCGCCATCTTATTGCTGGATTCATAAAGGCTAACAAAAACAAATAAGGGCCGGAACACTCGCGAAAAAGCCAACCAATGATAAAGTCAAACTTGTTGAAAGGCAAAGAACCATTCTGCACAATAGATAACAAAATCCAATCGCACATAAACCACAGCAAAATGTGCACCAAATAGAACACTAGAGGTTCAAATTTGAACAGATATGAAGTCGACCACGCGGCAAAAAACCCGATAACCATGCACTCCGACAGTGGCTCCAGCAAAATTAGCAAAGGCACCATTGCTACCCTCAGCTTGGCCCACCTGAAATGAAACAAACAAAATATGGAAACCACAAGAAGTACGTCTCGATCTCACCGTAGAAGCCTTTCTTGAAAACTGTGCACATCGCACGTACCGGAATTTTGTAACGCTGGATGACTGGATATCGCCAATCTCCAGCCATTGTCCAGGAAACACTGGGCTATAAAATAATCCTCGGCTAAATAGCAGCCGAATTTTTTCAGCCCGCCTTGCTGCTCGAGAACTTGCTTTCTCATTAACGTCGACATGCCTGTGTGACAATTTGTCCCCAACAAGTCCGCTGCCAAGTATATTCTAGATTGTGCCGTTCCAAAATATATCTAGAAAACAATTCATATTATTTGTGTTTTTTGCCAAGTAAACAATTACTTTTTCTAAAGTTGCAGCAAAGCCGTTTCTATCACATGTGAATGGCATTTGGTGCACTATTCCTGTTCTGTCTGATAAATGATTTACCATATCTAATAAGGTATCTTCTTTCACTAAAAGAAATAAAAGGTTGTATTAAAGCACAATAATATCTTCAAGATATTATCTTGACACTATTTAAATAAATTCATATGCATAGAAAAACTGCTTATTTTGTTAAATAAAATAATAAAGGAATATACAAAAAAATATATGACAGTTGCGGACGGTGCACTATGGTTTATCGGCGGAAAAAATACATTTTTAAAAACTTTTTATGATGGGTATTTTTATGACTACATACCTATATAACAATTCCTATTTAAATAAAAAAATTGGTAAAATTAAGAGAAAAAAAATCATATGGGCATTTAACTACGATTGCCTCCGATTTCCACGTTGATATCTACATGAGGTTGTTCAGTAAACTTTACTTTATAAGTACAAACAAAATTATCTGCATATACGAACATATGGAAAAGTCATGAATTTTTATTTATCGCGCTGCATGGCTAAATCGCGAGCGCTAAGGCAGTGTCTACGCACTCAAGATTTTCGCACCCGCAGATCTATGCTCATAAGTTTTCGTTAAATTTATTAATTATTATAAATATTTTAGCATGTATTAATTTTTTTTTAATATATCAAAGGCGGCTGGTGGATTTTGGGTATACCGATATCTCGGTTATTAGATATGGGACCCAAACCAAATTTATAATAGTTAATGACATTAAATAAACAAGTTCCGCGCAAGCAGAATTTAAATTGAAGTTTGCGAAAAAAAGATAACTTTTTGCTCGGTCGTACCGGCCCCATAGCGCTCCCAATAAATATGATATAAATTTAATTGGTGCAATTTATTATTTACCATAGTTTATCGACAAATTTCAAATTTCATTTAAAAAATTCAAATTATACAGATTTTATACCATTTTAAATTTTTAATATTTCCTTTCAAAGAAATGATAAAACTTTAAAATGATATAAAATCTGTATGATTTGTATTTTTTAAATAAAATTTGAAGTTTGTCGATAAACTATGGTAAATAATAAATTGCACCAATTAAATTTATATTATATTTATTGGGGGCCCCATGACAATTTAAATTCTGCTTGCGCAGAACTTTTTTATTCTATGTCATTATAAACTCATATAAATTTGGTGTGGGTCCCATATCTAATAATTGAGATATTGGTATACTTGGGTATACAGTAGCGGCTGGTAGATTTTGGAATCTACCAGCCGCTACTGTAATATATACAAAGTATACTTATCCTATAGGATTAATAATTATTTACCTAATCATAACAAATTATTAGGTATTAATTAATAGATAATCCTTTGCTTTGTAGGTATCTTAAAGGAAAAATATTTTAAAGGTAAAAACTATTAGGTAAAACATTATTTGCTCATTTATACGGTAATAATATTTTACATATATAGTGAAAGCAGATTTAACCAGTCTAAACTATTGCATTTTGTGATTTTTCAAAATGAATACATACTTTCTGCGTTTCTTTTCAGTTTTGAACAGAACTATTTTTAAATAGTGGAGCACAAGAATCTAGAAATAAGGATTTAAAAAAAAATTGATATATGTTTTTGAGAAGAACAAATCGAAAATCAACAAACGAGGATATATTTCATCGTCTTTTAATATCGTCTAATAACGTTACTTAGGGGAAATACAAAATTTGTAAAATATGAGCTTTATGAAGAAGTTAAGGAATTATTAATGGAATAAATTTTAAAATTAAAATTATGTTTATTTATTTCTTAAAGTGTGCTTAGTTAAGATAGTTAAAAAAAATATGTATTTATTTACAATAAAAAACTTCGAATCGAATTAAAATAATTTTAATAAAAAAGTTATTGAATTTTTCCCGCAAAACGCAGCTTTTTGACCATAGTGCGGTGGTTTATTTGTTAATAAAGTAGTGCCAATATAATATTATTATAGTCAAGTTATTTTTAGTATTTTTTAATACCTAGTACAATTTATTAAAAAAAGCTTATAATAAAAAAAAACAAAAAAAATCATTTTTTGTTGATTTTTTTAATAAAATTCATCGATTTTATTTTAATCATGAACTTTCCAAACCCTGTTTGAAACAACACTCTTTTCCCTTATCTTATCTAAGTAAAAGTACCTAAATCTTTAAATACTTGAAATTAAAAATATAGTATATTTAAATTTGCAACTTAAAAAGTGGAAAACTTAAAATTTACTTACTTCTAATCCCACTATCTGATATGAGAATTAAATCATAGTTGCTTGCTTCGTAAGCAGTGTTAATATTGTTAATTTTTGGATTGACTCCGACAGTTGATCCCCCTGTATATATAGTGGCATCGACTTTGGGATATTTCTCCTTAAGTGTATTTACTATTTCTATTGCCGGGTCTTTTTTGTCTTCTACACTAAATAATAGCTCATACTAAAACAACAAACATTATCATCAACTTTTTATCTATTGTGGTATAAAAGTGAATTTACCAAATAAATAAATTCGATAAGGAAAATTTTGGAAATTGTATGAATAACACAAAAAAGTTAACTGTATAAAATTAAATGAAAATACTTACACTGGGATAATTCATAGTAAAAAAAGTTTCTAAATTTGAAGATAAGTTTGGGTCTACCCCCATGAGAGGCTTTAAAATTGATACTCCTGGCGGGGGTACATCTGATACAATAGCCTGTATCTTGTGTAACCTGTATTTTCTAAAAAGAAAAAAAAATTACATGATAGTAGCAGTTTCATAGCACAGTTGTTGTATTTGAGGTTAGGGTGGAGAAATCTCGAAACATAAAATTATTACATACCCATAAAATATTGCTATTAAATGCAAAATCCACATAGCACACCAAAATATGAAAAAAACTATCGCAAATCCATAAAGAGTATAAATCATCGGCGCCATCCCATTAATTAAAAAAATTGGTCATTAATTTTTCTTAAACTACTTCATATCACAATTGTATGTACATTTTATTTGTTAACATTTATTTACGGGCTTAATTAGTGGTGAAAAACCACTAATACATTCAAACACAAAGTCTGTTCATAATACATCAATAAGATTTTTCCTTATAGAGGGGGAAAACGGCAAAGACCACAAAAATTTTGACGCGTTCAGAAATAACAACTGCAATGTCTTTCAGAACACTTATTCGCACCTAAAATCAAATATTTATATTATAGCACAATAACAAACATAATTAACAGGTTTATTAACCTTCATGTCACTGTTACAGGGGTTTACACCTCCAAACATGGGACTTTTTACTTTTAAAGGGCGAGAAACATTATGTCGGTAATGTAGATTACCGTACATAGACGTCAGATTTAAAATAGGTAGGTATCCTGTTTTATTTAAATTTTGATGCCAAATTTAGCGCCATAATAATTACTATAGTAGTGTTACCTAGTATATTTATTTAAATGCAATAATATTATGCATTTATTTAAATAAATCATTTTACATAATTGTTTAAAGTAATCAGTACCTATCAACATTGTTTTGAAAACAATGGTATCAATTATTTTTAATTGTTTTTTAAAATTATGGTAATTACAAAATATCTGTACCTTAGTTATGGTTTCTTTCTAAAGGTTGACAAATAACTGATTGAATTTTAACAAATATTTAACTTCTTTAAATAGATTTACACATATTCTATTTTTTAAGATAAGAGTTGTTAATGTTTTATTAAGTACATTACTCATCCCATATGACTATTTTAAATTTAAAATAAAACCACACAATGAGTAATTACCTACTGTTTTTAATTATTCACTTAAAATATCACTAGTTATAACTATTTATGTATACATAAATTAAGAAAGCACTTTATGTAAAACTTGTTCTTTTAAATGCACTGGAAACTAACAAATGTTGCAAAATATAGGACAGATATATTTCTGAATTGTAGTGGTATTTAAGATAAGCTATCAGATATCAATAATTGGAAACTATTTTTTTCCATTAAAAAGTGGTTTTATTGGAAAATTATGTACCCAAGTAAGAAATTTTCAGGGTATAAAATTGAAAAATATGTAGGTATTGTACAATCATTAATTTTATTAAATAAAAATTAATTACATTTTTTATATTTAAGAAATAAAATACATGACTATGAACTACTTAATTAATTTTAACTTATATGACTAATCAATTTAACAATTAATTCATATCTTATATGATTTATAGGTAGGTATACCCACTCATAAAGTAAAGTTCAAGTACCAAAAACATAATAATTGTCATACAAATCTAACAATTGCTTTAAATTATCCTCCAAACCTTGATTACTATTGTCTAAATTAAACCTATTGATAAAAACATACTTTTTGTTATTATACTCACTTAATTTCCCGACTATTCTTACTGTATCCCCTATATTTATCTCAGTTAATCTCGGTACCTTACTTAGAACATCCCTAGTATTTTTTTTCATCATAATAGCAACCTTCAAAATTAAACTATCTGTATTATCATTTTTTAAAGCACTGTAGAAATTTTGTAACTTTTTATCACAGTGAATTTTAGCTTCATCAGCAATATATTTTTTAAATAAACAAATAATATTACTGGTCCCATCATCTAAAACAACACAGTTATAATCACCATGCACATAAGCTGATGTTACAGTTCCAAATAATTCCAACCCAGCAAACAACACATTTTTGAACTTAAAATAATCGTCCGATTTCACTGCACAGTGTATATCACTTATAAACAATCTTGCGATTTTAGTTTTCATGAAAACATAATTTTCACGTGTTGTCTCAGGTTTTTTATCCTCGATTTCGATGAAGTTCTTCGTTTCCTCGTGCAATTCGTTCTCATTTCGTGCGGTGATTTTCGTTTTACCATTTTGGTTCGTTGTTACAATCCAGTCTTTATCGGTGTAAAATATATTAATTAAATTTGCATCCATAATGTAAACATAACCTAGCCTTTTGAAAGATTGCCGCCACACTATAGACCACAGAACATAAGACAACCCAGGTTACTTAAAGTTGACAGTTGGGAGAGAAGATGTGTTGACAGAACATAAGAGAATTAAAAGCGCTGTAGTCAAAAGTGGCAACAAGCATTGGTTGATTTTTAAATCTAGCAGCCTTGGAAAACCGAGTTGTTTTTTTCGGCGGGAAATTTGAATGATTGGATATTTGAATTTTTATTTAAAACAAGGAAATATAACCGAAAATTGTTTAAATTTTATATTTTTTTTGATTTTAAAAGGATTATATACGTAATATTGTCCATTAAAAATCAAAAAATATAAAATTTCGACAATTTTCGGTTATTTTCCACTAATTAAGTGGAAAAACACACATTTTTGTTTTTTTTAATAAATATATTTAACAAAATATACACTTAATTTAATTTTAAATTAAAGTATAACTAACAAATAGGTAATATTTAAATGAGGAGAAATTCAAAGTTAATTATTCTATAACTTTTAGTGATATTTAAAAAAAGGTTTATCAAACATGTATAATAATTTATAATTATTTAGGTATAATTTATCAAAAAGTATGACATTAAATTGATAATTACCCTCTTATATATGCCTACAAGACAATTATCGCTTGATTACAGCGATAATGTTCAGAAATTTTAATTTTGTGTCACATAATAACAATTTTTATAGGTTTTTTAAGATTTCTTAATAAAAATGCAAAGGTTTATAAACAAATTAACTCTAAAACATATTACAAACCATCAAAATATTTGATAAATTCTTGATAAACAATAGTTCAATACTTATTGGTCCTTATTAGAAAACAACCTTTTAAAACAGTTTGAGTATATTATATAATTAAAATTATTTCAACTTTGAATATGTAATTCATAAAAATAAATAATTTTGTAATACATACTGACTTATTGTATACCTATAGGTATTTCCAAATTTCTTTATTGGAATAAACCAAAAGGCTTATGCCTAAAATGTTTAATGCCATAATTAGACTAATAAGTAATAACAAACCATACTCTTATAATTTTTAGGAATTATGATTATAATTTGTTTTTAAAATAAGCACAATACTGTAGTTTTGTAAAATATAGAATTTTTGGCAAAAAGGAATTCCTACTTATCCAAAAATTAAATTACATTCTTTGGAATATTTAATTTTTAGTAAAATTGGTTTAATTAAAATTAATAATCAATAGAACCACTTAAATCTCAATGTTAAAAATATTGTTATTATGTATTTGGCAAAATTAAAAACTTTATGTATGATTTAACTTTCTGGTCAATATTAAGTATTAATTGTCTTTTTTCTTGTTCATGATTCATGGATTGAACCTGCGTCTTTTTCTTAATTCAATGAAGAATATTCAACTGCAATTAATATTTTCTATGTTCTTTTGCAAAGAAGTTTGATAAATTCAAGTCCTGTCTGCTTCTTCCATTAACACAAACCCAAACCTGAAATCAATACCAATTTTAAAATCAATTTAAATTGTAAAACAATTGATATTACCCAATAATTTTTAAAATAAAATAAAAATAATGTATCAATATTTATGCTACTTATTTATGCTAAAGGTAATTGTTTTACCAGCATAAAAATAATTGAATGGTTTATTGTAAAAATAAGCTAAGTAACTAACTAAGTATGATTTTGTTTATTTTTTAATTTAAAAATCTTATAAAAACTAATAATGGTTAACTTGTGCTGTTTTAACATGAAAATATCCTTTTTTAATATCCTAATAAAAACCCTAAATAAAATATTTCTGCCTCAAAATAATAATTTAAAGCAGAAGTGTATGTAATATAAAAATGTCAGATTGCTTGTTTTAACAATAAACAATTTAATTATATTTGGAGTAAATACTAAAAGTGTACTTTCTTTTACTTTTTTTATATTTGGATTAACTATGGATGTGTGAATATTGAATTCAAGAATTATTTAAATAGTTTGAATGTTTCAAATTTTTAAATGGTTCAATTAGAAAATTAAAATTTTCCAATAGTAATTGAAGAAATTGAACATTGGAATTGTAATTTAAAATTTATTTTGAAATAAAAAGAATTTTATTTACTTGTCATTAACCCTTAATTAACTTATTTGAATAGATTATGATTGTAATTATTGAACTATTCAAATAATTCAAAATATTTATGTAGTTTAAATATTTAATTTTAAGTTTGAATTAAATATTACTACTAAATTTATTTGGTAAAAATATTCACACACCACCAATTGTAACTAAAAATGTATTCTAAATTTAAAAAAATATATCTACCTATTATTAAAAAAATTTGGTCAAATATTTCTGTTTGGGATTGACGAGTAAAGCTTTCATTCTTTTTCTTCATGCTGGATAAATCTTGTCTAATTCTTCCATTATTGCAGAAGCTAAAATTAATTATATTAAATTAAAATCAATTTATATTGTAGCAAAAAATAATTGAATTAAAAACTTTAAAAATAATTCTTTAAAAGGTTTGCTTATGAATTGTCTAGTTATTTATGTACATTAAAAATGTCAGACTTTCAGATAGAACAAATGAAGGGGTCAATGCAAGAATTCTTGCACTTAAGTGCCTAAGTCGCATTTTCAATTAAATTTACATTGTGGCTTCATCTAAGAGTGTTTCATGTAAGGTTTCAGGTGGTATTTTCAAAGTGGCAGAAATATGTGCCCAAGTGCCTTAGTTTGCATTTACTTCAATGGGAGTTTGCCTGGTTTTCAACTTATGTGAAAACTCTTGGATGAAGCCACAATAACAATTTAATTGAAAATGTGACTTAGATACTTCTTGCATTGACCCCTTCAAATAAAATAACTATAAAAATACTGTAAAAGATTATCACCCTGTAGTTCAAAATGCTATATTTATGTAAAAAAAACATGGAAAGCACAAAACATTTGTAATATAATCAAGTTTTGAACTGTATGCTTACAAGTGTTTAATATCACCTCTTCCAGCTGCAAACATCTTGTAGATACTCGGCAGTTCCAATTCGTGTATTTAGCTTTTACAAATCTTGGGGCTCATAAACGTTATCTTTTATAAAGCCCCAGAGAAAGAAGTCGCACACTGTGATATCGGTTGAACATGTTGACCATACATGAAGTGCCAAATTGTTGGGCCCTTTACGTCCGATCCACCGATGAGGGGGCTGTTCGTTCAATAACCTCCGCTCCACCAAATGCCAATGTAGTGGGGCCCTGGACCCAGGTCCAGTTTTCGCGTAGCTACATCAAATAATTTTAACAAAAACATACATTTTGACAAAGATTATAGGTATATTTAACATTTTGTATAACAGCAACTAGTGTCGAGAAAAAAAACGTTAAAAACTGTTTTGATTGAAAGTTTTGAATCAAAACGCTTTAAAACTATTTAAATTCTATCAAAACTTGCATTAGTTAAACAACCCATAAGCAAAGAGTCTTTACTCTTTGCCATAGGTTTCATTACATAAAAAGAATTTTATTAACTACATGTGTTTTCGGTAAACATAGAGAAAAAAACCGATACGGTTTATCACACGTATTTTCTTATTTTAAACGCGGTAATGATGCTACAACTAACTCAAACTTGACTAAAAACACCTAATAAAATGTTAAAGCCGAAATTAACAAGTTTACTTACCTAAAACAAAGAAAATTTGGATTATAAAACTTAGTACACACCACTTCAACAACGCTGTCGGCCATTTGTAATTTCTCAAACCGAACATCAACGAACAAGTTGGAAAAGACCAATCACAACAAAGTAAGAATCACGTGGTTAATAACTGGGGTTTGTCAAAAACAACTTGGGTTTCAACGCATGCTAGATTTATTTTACTGTTGCCTGTTGTCAAATTCCCCTTATACCCCCCTGCTATAGACAACCCAGGTTACTTAAAGTTGACAGTTGGGAGAGAAGATGTGTTGGCAGCATTGCTTATTTTGGTTTCATAAACATGTCCGAATATTTTCGACTGACAACATATAACAAATATGACAGATGGAATAAATAATACAAATGAAATTACAGAAAATGTTTGGGAAAATTTCCACAACTGGCTGCATTGTATATGTATTGTTACATTTGATCTAGAGTTAGGACAAGCCTTGGAGGTAACGTAAACATTGTTTTATTGAACTGAACTCAATAACATAATAAATATTGTTTTAGACTGTGTACCCAAAAAACATTAAACTAACAAAACAGGAAATATCAAACATATGCTACCTGGCATTCCCCGACTCAAATTCAGGATGCATGGGAGATACAAATTTCATAATAAGGCTACAAAGTAGTACTGGTAAAAAGAACTTAAGACCTGAACACATCACATACAACTTGCAATGTTCCACATCACTGCAAATAGATGGATCTCATTACTGGGGGTTTGTGTATTTTAGGCAAGTTAAGGACATCACATTACCCCGTGGGTATTTCCAAAAGGTTAGTGGAAAATAGGTTAGTTTTTTTAAGTGGGGTGTAAATTGAAATATGTTTTAGAGTGTTGTCATACTTTCCCTTCTTCCATTTAACAATTTGTACAGTAAGATATCTAGTTTCATTGCCCCTGAGTATTTTCATACTGGTGAGGTGAGCTTAGAGGCAGCCTGCTCCAATATAAATCAGTGGCCCTCGCCAGTGCCAGGGGTAACTCTAAATTTACCATTATTAGGTTCACATTTTAAAGTAAGTTTTTAAATAGGTATATAAACTATATTGTTTTTATTATTATTGATACTTTTAGTCACTCATACCACTACAAGGGAGCTATTCGAGTGATAATACTTATGTAGATAATGTAAATTTGTTTGAGATTTTGCAACCTGTATTATCACACATACATCTACTATGGGAACTGGTTATAACATCAGAACCCATTGTTATAATGGCTTCATCTCCCACACATTGTTCCTCAATGGTGTTAGCTTTAACTAGGTAAAAATTATACTATAATTAATAAATATTGGGTAGTATTTAAATTAGGGTTCTATAAAATCACGATTTAAAAAAATTAACAAAAAGTTATTTTTTTATTTTTTTTTTTTAAATTACCAAGCTTTTTTAATAAAGAAAAATACTAAAAATAACTTGACTATAATAATATTATATTGGCACTAATTTATAAACAAATAAAACACCATCTGCAACTGTCATATATTTTTTTGTATATTCCTTTAGTATTTTATTTGACAAAATAAGCAGTTTTCCTATGCATATGAATTTAATTAAATAGTGTCAAGATATTATTGTGCTTTAGTTTAAGATCCTTAAAGTGTTTTTTTAGATTTTAGAAACTTTTTTTAAAACTGATTTAAATCATTGATTAAAATAAAAAAAATCACTCGATTTAAATCGTGATTTAAAATGTGATATTTTAGAATTATAAACCCTCTACAATATTGCGGAGACTACAGGCCGTATTTTACCATTCACGATAGTGAATTTAAGCAATTCACCAGTAAAATGCAGGGCCCTCCACCCGTGATCTTGGGAGTGACAAATCCGTTTTTCGCGAAAACATTACATCACTGGCCCCACACGATACGCTTAGCAGAAGACGCCCTATCCCCGCAAAACAAATACAAATTAAAAAAAACCGCTCCTACAAAACTAATCGATAACACACCTGGCGTTTACACCGCCTACAAATCATTTTTGCAAAAAGACAAAACTATCATAAAAAAGATAATGAACGGCGTGGGGTCCAAGAGGCCCAACGAGGTGCAGTCCGCTCTCCTGCGGCGCCACCTATTGGAGCTCACCCAAACTTTCATGATTCCTCTCGAGAGATACATAGCCAGCCTGATGCCTTTGCAAAAAAGCATATCGCCGTTCAAGGCCGCCCCAATACCGCTCCCCTTTAATCCCGATGACTTTTTCGCCACGCTGGAGCAAGCAGGCCCCCAATTGACTACGCCCATCAAAGGGGACTGGGTAGGGCTGTACAGGAAATTTTTCCGGACGCCCAACTTCAAGGCCTGGTTTCATGCTAGGTACACGGAACTCATGTCCAAGCTACAGGCGCTGCATTTGGAATCATTGTCAAAAGCTGTAAGTATTGTGGAATTTATAATTTAATGACAATTTACAATAAAAATTAATTTATTTTTAAATGCTTTAGGTATTTAAAATAAAATACATTAGTTGTCATGTAACAAAAAAACCTATTTATTTGAATTATCAATGTAAAATTTAATTCTAAACATTATAATTATACCCTTTTTGTGGCATTTGAAATAAAGGTACATATTTTGTAGTGATGATGTTTATGCTTGCCATCAATATCGATTCCGGTCGTTGACTTTTAAGTGATTATTTTTAGGATCTCAAAAAGTGGGTTCAAGGCAAGCCAGAGGTCGAGGTGGTTGACATGGTAATAAAAATAAAGAACAAAATTAACAAGTGCAAAGAGAATGACATTCCAGTCAGTGAATTAGTTAAGGACGAGTTAACTCAGAGATTAAATGATATTTTGAATCAACTTCCAGATGATCTGAAAAATATATTGCAAGTTTCCTGATACTTGTTGTTCAGGGCTAGAAATGTATTTTCAATATAACTAATTGCTCAGTTTTTGAACTTTTCTACCAAGTATTTTGGGTTTTAGCCCTGATGTTAAGGTGTTGTGATTTGATGTGTCAATTTTGTAAAAATTCACTCAATAAATAAATTTTTGTTAAAATGCCTTGTAGAAAAAACATTATTTCATCGAAATTTTCATTGTGATTAATATATGTGAAAAAATTGCCATTTTTTAAATTATACATGGTTTCGTCTCATTAAGGATAGTGTCTAAATTGTAAAAACTTGCCTTTAACCTCGTCACTGTGCTCCTCATCAGTGCCGGGAAGCCATAAAGTGTCGAGCACATCCGAAATAAATTGAGTCAGTTAATTTCTGATGTGCTCGACACTGTATGACTTCCCGGGACTGATGAAGTCCAAAACGGGCTGTCTGGTACTGTGACGAGGTTAAAGGCTAGTTCTTTCAATTTTTTGTATTGTTGGTTTGCCAAAAACGTTTTATAATGTTAACTGATTGTACATTTTAGAAATGTCCATTGATCAAATTTTTATATTCAAACACTGTTCATAAATATGTATATAAAATAAATAAAGTTATTTTTTATTATAAATGGGTTTTTCATTAATAAAACGCTAATGTAAATAAATAAATTTATTTCATAATAACAATATATATAAAGATTGACCATAATTGAATTTGAGCAATATAAAGATAATTTGTTGTTTTTATGTAAAAAAAAATATGTATATAAATTGTAATATGTCTATAATTAAAAAAATTCATACAAAACACTTTTTCGAGGATTTCAGCAAAAAAATATAAATATAGTTATTTCTATAAAACAACCTAGTTATTAACTATTTGATTCGAAATCTCTAATTATATAATACATTCTTTTTTTATTTATGTCAATACCGTGTTGGAAATTCCGTAATTTTATATATGCAATGAGTAAGATGGATTGAGAGACGTCTGTACTTTTTTTTCATACATTCGTCTCTCTCTTAATCGTTATATATAAGATATAACGGAATTCCAGACACTTAATAAGCAAACCACAGGCTCTGAAAACAAGAAAATTCAGTCTTGTAAAACAAAATTAATTTTATTTAAGCCAAAAATCCGAAATACCTATTTGAATACTGCTTGGGACATACAAGTCTGTGGTTTGGATATTCCAAAAACAATCTAGCAAAAATATTAGGAACAATCATGTTAGACAACTTGAAAAACATAATAACTCTACCACCACAAAAAGAAACAATTTTATAATAATACAGAACCTAATATTACTATCACACATTTTACAGAAATGCATTTATCACTCGAACATAAATGGTTCAGGTCAGATACAATGGCGCACCAACCCTTTCTTTTCGTTTGACATTACAGGTTATGTGCATGAATTTATTCTACAGTGACCTGTAATTGCAGTTACCTACACTGTTTTCCAGCTAAATGCGATAGATGGACCCACTGTATGATTTTGGGGCTACGGGTACGCCATTGTTCAGATATGCCACAATAAAATATGTCGGACATTAAAAACCAATCACACCAATTCAAATATTCCACAATAAGAGATGATTCGTCGAATCCTCCCTACCGGCCACCTCTGATATATTTGAAGTCCTAAAATCCTCGTAGCCATCTCCGCCGGAGATCACCAGCAACTTGATGTTCGCCCTCTGTTCCTGCTTACCTTTGTACGAATTTCTATGTTGAGTGTCGGCACTGCCGAATGGCATTTCGAGCGAAGTTAAAAATCTCACGTGACCTGTATGCCCGTGTGATACCCCGCTGACCGTAGGGACGCTGCCTAGCTTCGCTGTCGTGGGAGAGACGTGGGGTAAAGGCATCGTAAGCAAAACCCCAGCGGATGTGCCGATCCACAGCAGGTCCTTGCAAGCGACCAGGGCAGTGACTCTAAGACAGGCCGCTTTGTGTTGCCTTATGATATCATCGCAACCTACAACAATTTCAAACACATTGATTCTAAATCCAATTTGACTCTGCGTCGATTCTTACTTGTTAGCATTTTTGTGACGGCTGGAGCGACGTTTATTTCGCACAGAGGCTCGAAGGTGCTTGCGTGGAAACATTTGATCAACGCTGAATTTTGCAATGACAGCCATACGGCGTTCCCGCACAAGGCTATACACGAAATCGGCTTGTTGGAATCGTTGTTGACGGTGAACTGATTTTCCGTCGTCAACGTTTCTGTGTTGAATATTTTAATGGTGCTTCCGCATCCGCACCACAATTTTCCTGAGGTTGGCACTATTTTAGACACGGGTGTGCTAGTCGAGCCTATAGTTACAGTAGACGGAGTGTTTATATTCCAGGAACCGCCTAAAAATTAAGTATGTTGAGCACATGGCGCAGTCGCTCTCATGTTAAACTTACTACTGTCTCTATCATAAATCGCGAAGTCCCCGTTAGCCAGAGATACAAAAACCTTATTATCTAGATATCTATTAACAAATTATATATAATTATGTTTTTATTCATGTACTTTAATAATTTACTTACATGATACAATATATGGAAGAATTATGTTGCAATCTAATCTTATTTTTTTTAATACGAATATTGTCATTAGAATTGTACACATGTATACATCCGTCCTCTGTCCCCAGCCACATTGTTGATTGTTGATTATCCGATTCGTCAAATTCGCTGCACGTGTCGGTCGATTCGACAATTTTCTGCGGTTCGTCGTTCTGCTCCACGTCACTTTTCTCGTCTTCGTCGCTCGAAGAGCTACTATCAAACTGCATCGTTTTGTGATCCTCGCACTCCACCCTGTTGAATGTACCTTTACTGGACGCGGCGACGCTAAAAGCACCGTGGAAATTCCAAAACCACAAATAAGTAATATAATAAATACATACCCATTGTTTACACCAGGCACAGATGCAATGCAAAGTATCCTGGCGTTACACACACCGTTACAAGATGTCACAGTCGGTTCTGGTGTCAAACTCAACACGCAAACTTGCCCAACGTAACCATCGCTATTACACACCCAAACGTCTTTTCCATTATCACCTAAAGTTGGGGCTGCGCACGTAAATTGCAAGCCAGCCCTGGTTTTTCTTATTGGAACGGTAGCAACCAATTCCGGGCATGGTCTTCTATCACCTGACATTGCTGCAATTTTGTATTTATGTATATATCTACAAATAGATTTGGTAAGTTTTTAGCTTACCTAATTTTTGCTTTGCTTCATTGAACGATTCTTCCCATGAAGTTCTTTTTTCAGACTTCGAAAACACTATAGATACATTTTCCAGGCCATTTCTGAAACAACGAATGCATTGAACAGCAACACTTTTATTAGTTGCAGTAACTTACGAAGTGTTGAGAGTTAAATCCAAGCAAGACAGTTGAGAATCGCTGTTTTGTTGCTCACTGAGTTGCTTGTTTAAACTGGCCAACATCTCCTTGACAACTTCATCCAATTGGGAGTGATTGCAATGTAAAGACCAGCCCATCTCGTTTATCTGATTCAACACGCTAATATCTTCGGTTAAATTGTCGACCTCGATCATCATTTGCTTTAAATTCTCGTCTTTACTTTTCAGTATTTCCAAATCTTCCAGTGGAACTTTCATGAGTAACTTGTATTTGTTGGCTTCCAAAGTACTTGTTACACTGTTTCCTTGTCCAGTTATAGGCCGTTTGATGGTGCCACTTCTTCTCTTAATGCTCGTTATCAAAAGCAGATCTGAAAATAAAAATAGGGCTCTCTCTTTTCTGGTGCCTCCTCCAGCCGCCATGCTAACTAGGTCGTGCCTTAAGTATTGTCTATCCGCAGATACTAAATCTATTAAACTAAAAAAAAAAAAAATTCTATTCAAATGTTGTGGTTGTGTATAATACTTACCCTTCTATAAGGCCTTCGATTTCCCTGAGTTGTTCCAACTCCACAGCCTCTCTTTCTGTGCAGTTTATTTTTAATAATTGATCGTGAACTTGTTTTTGCGCAGCAAGCAATAAGCTGTGGTCCGGATGATTTTCATCGGTGTGTTTGATTAGTCGTTGTATTAAAAGTTCGTATTTCGGAAACTTTTGAATGGGTTTTATTAATAGAGAATCTAAAGCTAGTTTACCCTTGTGTTCGCGAGATGTGTTCTGAAAAATTATGATTTATTCAAAAACATGCCGGAGTTCTTTGTTTATTTGACTTTCGTCGGGTATTTATTTAATATTTATTTAGGTATTCCAGGAACTGCATTTGATGTTTGTTTACTTACTTCTAAAAATCTACTAAATGCGGGCTTGGATTGTTGCGCGTTTTTTAATATCTCCCTTGCACGTTTCCAATTGTTGACGTAGTTTGTATAATTTTCAATAACCGCAGATTTGGAAAACATCTCGAGAAAAATATCGCCGATTTTTTGTTTGATGTCCCAATGTTCGAGTCTTTTTCGAAGTTCGTCCAAAAAAGTTTGGTGGTGACTCAGTAAAAACGGAATCTAAAATTGTTTTATTAGTTTTTGGAACTATTTATAAATTAGTTGGTTACATACTTGGAAAAATATTTCATCAACCAGCGAAGCATCAAGTAAATTGGCATTTTCGGGGAGTTTTAGGGGTTCAAGGTATTTCTAAAAAAACAATCATAAGCCAGAAAAACAACATTAATCGAATAATTACCATGACCAAAATTTGCAAGGACTCAACGTAGGTCCGTTCGTTGTCATAGAGCTCGACCACCACGTGCGTGCGTGTATCCTACAACAAAGCAAAAAGCCATGTAAACAAATGAAAGCCTCAACAAACTGACATCAAACTTGTAGGTTACCGAATGAGTTTGTATGTCAAAATTGGTCGCGTCGGAAAAATTATGAGTCTCATCCTCGCTGTCTTGGTCGTTGTCATCGCCCGCGGAACAGCCCTCTAACCTTAAATACAAGTCCCTTTTCGAGCTTACACCACTCATTTCAGATACCATCTCATTTTTAATGCCACACCTTATGTCGAACTTAGCGAACGAAATGCGCGCCGACGCGTCCCTACCGTCGCGACGCAACTGGTGGAAAACCACAGCCACTACGTTGCCATGGAGATTCTACAGGGCGATCCAACCACACCGCACCACACAAAAATCATATCGCCGTGTAATGCAACAATACGAAGACGGAAGATAAAATTCTATTTTAAGTGTATATGGGGTGTTCTATTTATAATGCAAATCGATTATCTCCTTTCAGACAGTTTTGTTCAAATTACAAGAGCCCCTTTTGTTCAAGATATCAAGATACAAGGATTTTAAATCTGCATACAATTTGATTTGCGCTATAATTTTTGTTTAATATAAAAAATGTGCTGTCCTATCAATTATTGTTATTGCCTATCAATTTATCGACAATTTGATAGAAATTCGTAAAAATATAGAGTTTATTTGTCAATATATTTTTTAAGATAATTTTAAAAATCTATTTAAAGGAATATCTCGAGTGAGTTCTTTTGTCTTGCTGTATTTACACGAGACTAAAAATAACTATATTGAGGTCTCACATTATTTGTAAACTTGTACCGCTAAATAAAATGTAGGCAATCGATTTTAATTATTATTAATTAATAAATAAATCGATGAGCTCTAAATATTTTTATGCTATAGACATTGGAATATATAATTCGCATTAATTAATATTACGGTAATTTAAGTAGGTGTGGGCACATACAATTTAATTAAATTAAATAAATAGTGCTGAATATTATTTTGCGCAATAATAAACAAAATTGTTATTCTTGAAAAAGGACAACTTTGGTGAAATGTTAAACAAATATTAGAAATTTTCCCCAACACCAAAACAAAACACAAAGTGCTTAAAGTACTTTTCGCCAACGATGTTGGCATCTTCAGAAGGCCGTTTCATATAGATGCGTATTGCGAAATGCGAAAAATGCTCCCACTGGTCCATTTGATTTGGCGGGAAAAGCGTTTCGACGCTTTGACAGATCCTGCGAATTCGCAAGATTTGAATTTTGAGATTTGGCGTGATGCGCATGCGTTTCGCATGCACATTAATGCAACTGTTTTTCATACCTACGCCATTTATGTTTATTTCTTTTGTATCGTAGTGTTTGTTTTGTTAAGTTTTATTCGAACTATTTAAATAAGTGGTTTTTTTTTGTTTTTTTTATAATGAACAAAGAGTTTTTTGAGGTACATTAATGTTTCTTATTTTACCTAGTACCTAAAATAGCATAGTAAAAAAAAAATGTCCCTAAAATAGTTCGCATCTATATGAAATAGGAGTTGCGAATATTCGCATTTCGCACCTATATAAAACCGACTTAACTGGGTTACACTTCGCTTCTGAAGATGCCAACACCGTTGGCGAAAAGCACTTCAAGCACTTTGTGTTTTGTTTTGGTGTTGGGGAATATTTCTAATATTTGTTTAAAATTGTTATTATTTACTCACGTTATGTTGCTGTTGGCTGGCGTCGGCGGTGGCCAGTTGTTCGGAACTGCCCCTTAATAGCTGTTCGAGCAGTTCGTTGGAAACTTCGTTGTTGGCGAATCCTTCGAGTTTCGATGGGCTCGAAGTGGTCCTTTGATGACTAACAACAAGTTTCTGTTCGTTTTCATTAGCCATCACTAAACTATCGGCACTTACTTTGCGTTTGCACACCGGCTGAAGCAACTTGAGGGAGGTCTTTTGCATTTGCATTTGGCTCTCGTCGAGGCTGTTGTTGCAGGCTCCCCCACGAGTCCGCTGCTTTGGTTTGCTTTGCATCGTGGGTATCGACGAGGATAAGTCTTCTAAAAATTTCAATTCGTTGTTGATGTGTTTTCGAGCCTCCGGCTTTTTCATTTCGGCCTCGAGCATTTGCCCGTAAGGGCCTCTCACCGGCCGTTTCGAGTATCTTCTCGGTATCGAAGGGCTCGTCGCTGGCTCGTTACTGGCACTTATCCTGCTCTCGCAATCCGATATGTCGGATACTAAGGACACTTGATCGGACTTGCGATCCAGGGAGTCCGGTTCGCCTTCCGAAAGCGAGTCCGACCGTAGTAAGCTTATGCTGCGGGGGGTGACTTTTAATAAGTCCTTTTCTTCAGGTGACTTCGACAGCAATCGCTGGCGAGTAACTACGCTGGGCCATTCTGGCGGAACGTTGTTTTCCTCGGGACTTAAGGGCTCCTCCTGCGGACTACTCCAAATGGGAAAGTCTTTGTTTTTCTCCTCTTCTCCACGAGATTGTTGAAGTTTCGATATTTCCACTATGGATTCTTGTAAGAGTTTTGTAGTGTTTTCATCTTGAACGAACTGTGCTGAGATTACATCGTCACTTGATTGATAAGTGTTTGGCCATTGCGACTCAATGTATATACCTTTTCTTCGTCTTGATTTATCGCGTTTTTTGTCTATATTGCTGCTTGTGGGAGATCTAGGCTCAATCTGGCTGCTGCTGGCATTTTTCTCATCGTCTTTGGATGGAGTTGGAGTGGTGTTTAAGGATTCGTATAGATTGGTAAGCTCAGAAGCACTAATATCAGTTGTCGGGGATTCTTGTTCGATCACAATGGAGGGTTTGGTGTCCAAGGTTGTAGGTCTAAGAGTATTTTTCGATCTCGGTAATGTGGCTACGTAAGTGTTGTTGGCAGTGAGCGAATTGGCTTCGTTTTGATCCTGACTTGGCGAAGGCCGTCTGCGAATGTACTTGTTATCATCTGTGCAGTAATCGACCTGCGAAAAGGAAGCGCTCCTCAAAGGGGTAACTCTGGTGTTTAGATCCTGTATTGGCTTTGGAAAATCGAGTGTGGGAGGTAGAGGCGAAATGGGCGGAGTGGTTCTGGATATGTGCCTCGTGCGAGGCGGCGGAATCGGTACCTGTCCGCGTTTCAATCGATCTGACAGTTCTCTGTACCGCTGATCGTTGGCTCTTTTGTCGGCAGTAGCTGAGGAGGAAGAGCGATTTCCGCCGAAGCGGAACCTGGGAAGGCGATCCAGGGTTAAATCCTCCTTACCGCCAACAATACCGTCTCCGTACTCTGCAAGTCTCGTGTAAACTTGTGGTCGCACCAGGGCACAACGCTTTAGTTGACTTTTCAAGAGGCACGTGCCTGTATAGAGTACATGATCGCGCACTGTAGCCGCCGTTGCTTGCTGAGCCAGCGGCAGCGGCTGTTCTGACGTAGCATCCTCGGTCATCCTCATTCTATTTGCGCAACTAATTATATCTAAGCTATTAATAGTCTGTGCCTGTGGAGTGGCGAGTAGAGAGATCCGGGAGACGGGGCCGCTCTGGTTGGAGTTGCTGTCGCATCCGCAGCCGATATCGTCGGCACCGCAATCGGCCGCCAGCGCCATCGTCGGCCAGCAGCACTGCGGCCCGCCGCCGCTCGCGGCCGCCGCCGCCGCCCGGTATCGCGGCCCCGCGCCCGGCGGCGGCGGCGACACAGCTCCCACCCGCATCCCGTAACGCACCGGTCCAATCGTCATGTATCTACAAACAACACACAACAAGCAATGTTTTTGTTTACGTTCTCAGAGCAGTGCAGTACGTACCTTTTGTATGAGTCGTCCAGGCCGCGCGCTCGGTGGGTGCAAGTGGTGACTGATGGGATAGAGCATGTGCAGTCTTCGCACCGGGCCACGCATTCCTCGTGGAACCTGGACATGCCGCCGCACTATCAGAGGAACTCCTCGTCTCCCAAGACGGGAACTCATCCTCTTAAGTCACTGCCGGCACGGGAATGTGTTTGTTCACCCACACAGCACGCCTATTGCCGTTACCGTTACCGCAAAACCCTTTGACATTGCCATTTTAACGCCGGACCGGACCACTAATAATAATTCTTCGACGCAACAATGTCAGCCATGACAGCAACGACAGAGCAGAATAAACAGCAGGTAGACTCGGTTTACTAAGCGTTTTGTCCGTCGTTGGCCGTTTCAATCTCAAACTCGATACTTGCTGGCTGGTCACTGTCGTCAACCCCCCCTCCTCGCCGCGCTGCTGGCCTTATACGAGTACTATACTACACTACACTTTACTTTTCTTACTCTTCGCTTCTTTGCTTTGCTTTGCTTTGCTTTGCTTACTGTACCACCATCATGGACCTCGCAGTACCATTCTATTCTCATTTACCTTTTTAATATTTAATTAAGCACCTTTAGGGTATGTTGAAAATAAAAAGTGTATTAGGTATTGTTTTATTAAAAACTAGGTACATTCATTGTTTACTTTCTTACTACCTACTTGATCCGAACACTTTCTAAACTCTTACGCATATTTTTTGTATTTAAGAATAATACAACGTCTCTATAAATAAACCTGTATTTTTAAATAAACAATTTATATTTATAATGGATTATTTTCTAGTAATAAATTATTTTCACATTTTGTTTGTCATTGTCATGTGCATAAATATTATTTTTGAATAAAATAAGACCATTGTTTTATTGTTTTAAAGAATGTATTTCCTATTGTGCTATGCTGAGTAATGGAAACTATAAAATAGACATAAACTTGCTTTAATAGCACTGAAGCTGGAGAAATTTATTTATAAATTTCTTTTAAACGTGAAATAATAATATTTTCTAATACTCAAGGCTTTCCGTTTATTTTTACTTCAGATTTAAATTATTTTTGTCGCAATACACTGTTTCGCAGAAAATTTAAATCCTATATCTTATTTAGAACAATCCTATAGGACTGTCATTTAAAGCTAGATAAATTAACATTTTGGTACGCTTTCAAAAATGACCTCTTTTTGATTTAGAATGATTTATTTGATAATTTGTCTATTGTTTGCTTTGCTTACAAAATGATGTGTTTTGTTTTATTAAGGCACGTACAATTGTAAAAGCAGACTAAACAAGTTAGAGTAGTGGATTAAAAATTATGTTTACAATGAAAGCTATTTTGAGGACTCAGGATATACATATGCACATAAAGGATGTAAATAATAGTCGAATATTTTGTTCGTGTATTTATTATTTTTTTAAACTCCTAGATGAGCAGTGTAAGTATCACAAATTATTTTTAAAGGTAGTGGTTATAAGACATAAACAAATTTTCAGCTGTGATTTTTTATAATGATTTAAAGCTATTGACACATAAATGATCTCTTTAACAATATTATCGTGTGTTATGCCAGAGGAGATACGAAAATCGCTTGAGTCACCTCTTGAAATTTCTATAGAAAATGGTCTCTATAGAAAGCACTAAACCAATCAGGTCACGGTAGTATCCACAGCACACTAATTGGTTTATCGCTTTCTATAGAGGTAATTTTCTGTGGAAATTTTAAAACCGAGGTTGGTCCCAATCTGATTAACACCGAAAATAAATTTGTTCAAATCTCAAATCCACGCGTTTTTACTGAATCCAGTAAAAAATCGAAAGTGATTGGGGTATACCCTTTGGCATAAATTTTATTAATTATAGGCCGTACCAAGATTCAACGAACACTATAAATAAAGCTAAGCTTTTCTCACTATAAGCTAATTAGTTGAAACTACAATTTAAAATGGCAGTATAAATTTGTTCTAAAATGATGATGGTGTTTGAGCACCTTAACTAGGAGGGCTTTTTATGTTTTTAGCAAAAAGGCAATTTTACATGGCACAACGTTGATTTCCTAATTAATCTTATTCGTATCTATTTTGTGCGATGGTTTTGTGAATAATGTGTAATAATAATGCTTTAACAGTCTTTTATCTACATTATACGGAATTTTTTAATATTAAACCCTTGAATAAGTAATTTGACATTAAAGTGGAATTCCAATTGCCATGGACTGTGCTCGGATTTATATGGCATTTTTAGGAAAATCAATAGTAGCATTTCCCCGCTTTTCTATAGAGAATTAATTTAATAGCTAATCTCTCCCTATAGGCTAGATATAATTTCATTGGATCTTGCTGCGGCCTTTTTAGCAACTATTTGTTTTATATTGTTATGTATTAAAAATATTACAAATGCATATATATTTATGTATAATATATATATATAATAAGTCAAGAATATGAAGGCAAAATCTTGTACATTTTCTCATCATAATTGATAAACTGTACAAACCTCACAAAGAAGGTAATTAAAATATAAACAAATTCAATATTTTGTATTTTCGAAAAACAATGTTTTTGTTCTGATCTGCAGAAAAGCTTAAAACATCAGAAGTAAAGATTTTGATATATTAGACAGACGGCTTAGTCTTAGTCCTAAGAATTTTTTATTTGTAGTAGGATTTGTTTTAGTTGAATCGAGGAGTTTTATTTATTCATATAAATTTATGAAAATATTTTTATAAAAGTTTGTTTACAAAAATAATTACACACTGCGCGATACTAAGAAGGTTGTCGTAGTAAGTCGTAGTGCATATTTTTTTAAACATTTTTATTTTAATTATTTAATCGTTTTATTATTTAGATCCTATTTAACCACAAATAAAAAACTGATCAACCATACCGAAACCTTACTTCTTTATTTAAAAGTCTATATATCATATATAACAATTTATTAAATAATTTATTAACAATGTCAAAGATAAATCTATATTTACAATAATATTTGGGAAAAAATATTACATAGCAAATTTTAATATCGGACGTTTTCTTTAAATCTATGGGTATATAGATGATTTTTAAATTGAAATTGTCAAACATTTTGGAGATGTTTCATACAAATGAGACTGTTATAAATCTACCGTTGTTATAAAGACAAAATTTACACCAAAAATCATCGATATAGAGCATATTTACTCTTTTTTTATTGTACATTTCAATGGTAAGCAACTTCTTTCAATGTTATTGCTACAAGAAAAAACAACCTATTTATTGCTTCATAATAATAACCCGGCGCATTCGCCATTTCTGACAATAACTAATTTAGAATCTTAAATAATTGCACTGCATGTTCTCTATCTAACTCTATTATACTATTATATTATGAGTATTGTATAGGCACTTAAAACGCTAAACTTATAATTACATGCAACAAGGCTTTTTATTTTTAAAATAAACGCGGCAAATCGATATCACGAAATCAAAAGGAATTATACACGCGGAAAAGAACGCTTTACCTACCATTAAAACATACATTGTTCAGTCGCGAGTGTTATATATACAGTAATAAGCACACAAAGCTTTATTTAGAATGCTGTCGAAAGTGTAAATTGCCTTTATAAAAAAGTCCACATATTTAACAATATTTGGAAATTCTTTAAAAGCATCTATATAAATATGTGGTCTTTGTTAAGATAGAGAACTAATTTAAGTACTTCTCAAAATTTGTTAATAACTATGTACAAGTCATACAGAGTGTTACGTCTGTACGCAAAGTATTCTATTCGATAGATATCCTGTGTCCAAAAGCTGTAGTATTTCATTATCTGGTTTAGCAAAACCTAGTATATAAAGGAAATTCATTAAAATAGGAGTTTCAAAAATACAAACTACGCTTCAAAAATTTAGATTTTCCATCTAAGGTAAGAACTGGCCCAATACCTCGTCATGCTGCTTATATAGGCAAACAGGTACAGCGACAGCGGTGAGAGCTAATTGTCCAGCTCTCACAAAAAATACGTTACCTTTAAAAATATACTCACGTTATTATTGTTAAAGAATGGTAACGATTTCTAGTATTTGTAGTACGGTGTATTTTTCGAAATATCCTAATTTTTACGTTTGTAACAAGAAACATAAGCCTGAGAGTTCAAGACAAGTTGGTGGTTTTAAATATCAGCTACTGGACCTCCTATGGTCGAGATACTTGTAGTCATTGCTTTTCCTAAATTTCTGCAACGAAATTAACTATTATTTATTTGTCACATAACACTGTAAGCAATTAATTTTAATAAGGCATATTTAACAGTACTAAAAACTGTTGATTATTATAATAATTCCAAATTTGGTAGGCTTATTACAATTGAATATTAAAAATTATTTACAGCGAAATCAAACTGACATAAATTCCTGGGATGCCTTTTTAATTAAATAAACATTATTAACAAAAATAATTTTAAAATATTTAATTTGAAACAAACGTTTCAAGTACATTATCTAACAGTGTTCGCAGATCTGAGCGAGGCAGTTAATAGGTTTCTCCGCCGTGTTGTATATACAATTTTTAATCAAGCATTTAATAATCCCCCTTACCGCATTGGATTTTCATCCAATCATTGATTTTTAAAATTTCTATTTCTATCCTACAATAATTGTAGTACAATTGTAGGGTCAACAAAAAAAGTTTTAACCAAAAATAACTTTGATTTCTGCAATTTCTATCCTACAATTGCAGGTTCATCCTACAATGGGGTAGTTAAATTTTTTCTGACCTATACTTTTTATGGTTTTATTCAAGGCGTTTTGTAATATTAAACATTTCTGTGAAATCAGAATTTCAATTGAGTTTACCGTTTTCGATATATTTATAAAAAATATAAATTTTTATGACGTCACAAACCTCGCCATCTGACCAACATTCTAAGATTTCTATTGGTTGAAAATTACCCTGTTGTCAAGTTGTCCTGTTAATGATTTCATTCGGTTATGTCAGAAAATACGTTATGTACAAATACTGTCACTGTCAGTTGAGTGAAAGATGGTCACCAAATTCATTAAGTACCTATCTTCCTTATTACGAGGTATCATATTACTGTTTGATATTTTAGAGTCCAAGATATATCTAAAAGAATATAAAGAACTAGGCATTATACTAATGAAATGCATTTACGACAAAATATGATTATAATTATAGGTACTTACTTTATTTGTTTAAAAGCTCCAATGTTCAATGTAACCAACCATTCCACAAGATTCCTCTGCTTTGGAGTCCGTTATTAATAAATCACTTATCTAATATCAATTACAAATAACATAACAATAACATTGATTTTCAATAATCTAAATTAAAAAAAAACATAACCCGAAAAAAAGAAACGTCAAAAAATCAATTCTTCTTCTTCTTCTCAACTAAAATTATAGATCAAGTGGTTTTAAAACTAAAATATTATAACGTGGCGCCATCTATCGTAAGAATCTTAAACTAAACACACTGGCAACCATAGAAAAAGCTGGCAACGTTGTCAATAGCCTAGTGACGTAATTAGGAGATTTTTTTTGTAAATATCTCGAAAACGGTAAACTCAATTGAAATTCCGATTTCACAGAAATGTTTAAAATTACAAAACGCCATGAATAAAACCATAAAAAGTATAGGTCAGAAAAAATTTAACTACCCCATTGTAACTTACAATTGTAAGTTTAAGTTACAATTGTAGGATAGAAATTGTAAAAATCAATGTTAGTTTTCGCTGAAACTTGTAAAATGTTTGTTGGCCTTTCTACGCCTTCGTAAATATCTAAAGTTTAAAACTCTTGAGCAATATGAGGCATTTTGTTAAAAGCCTTCTATCGTGAATAATTAATAAAAAGCCTCGACTTATATTTAGACCTGTGTAGATATGAAGTGTATCGATTAAAAAACAAATAGGAATGAAGAAAACTTACCCTCCTATTGAATTCGAATTGAGCATTCCGTCTACCAGGCTATCCCTGCTGATTTCGTCGACCATAGCCACTTTAAAGTGGTGCCCAAAGCTGGCCAGATCCTCTCTGAACGCCTCGCTGGCCGGAGTGATGCCCCCGCTGGCAGAAGGGATGGGGGTGCCGTCGGGAGCGCTCTCGCCCTCCATGTCCATCGCTTCTGCGTTCTTCTCCAGCGGCTCCTTCTCCTCGTCGTCATTGTAGATTTTGAAGTAGGCGATGGTCAAATAGATGCACGATATTATGAAGGAGGGTATCGGTATGGCCATGGCGTAGACGAGGTTCATGTAGACCTGCCACATGTCCAGCTTGCTAATCACCAGGCTTGGATCCATTCGGCTGTAGTAACAAGAAAAATTCGTTCCGATGTCTCTGTACTTTTTGAGGAATACAGAACAGTTGAGCATTGGAGGGTAGCCGCAGCCTTTCACGTTGGGCAACAGCTTTGCTTCTCGGTAATACCATTCAGAGTCGTTGCCCATCAGTCCGGTGGTCCTTTCCTCCTCATAGTCGTAATCTTCGATGAGAGCGCGCTTTTCGCGTACAGCCACTTCGGTCGAGGAGGTTGTCACTATAACACTTAAATTTGTGTTTAGATTTCTTTTATAATCAACTAAAATTTGAGTGCAATCGTATATGTCTTTGGTACAACCTTCGCGACAGGAAGTCCAACTACAGTTCGAGGCTCCGAGCCGTCGGTTAACCTTCACTGTCACACAATAAGCTGGCTCCTCATCAAACTCCATAAATATTGTTGTGAAAGCTGGTTCAATGACAAAAGGCACAAGGAATAAGAATGAAAAAAGGCTGAAAATACCGAGCAATACAAAGAAAGCTGTAGTGTAGAAGAGTAACTTCTGCTGCCAGGTTTGCTGTAGGACTTCCGGTTCTTCCATGGTCGTAGCGTGAGGTCAGAAAGGATCTTGGTCCTGGACCCCACCATCTGAATCCACCAACTAGCGCGAGCGGCTCGGCCAGCTCACACCGTCACAACGTCCACTGACTTCACAGACGAATAATACGAATAATCTCCAACCTCCACCCTCCTGATCCTGTCCGCTTTTGTTCAGGCCTTTAACACTTTGACTTGCTGGTGGTGGAGACGAACCCCGCTCCTCCTTGCTAGTTCCATGCATTCTTCTACCTACGAGGATAGCATGTGCCTTGTGACTTGTCGACAATTATCTATCTAGCAGTCTAGTCAAGCAGCTTACATAACAATGCGGATAAATTTTTGAATTCGCAAAATCAGCGGGAACGAAGTGTTACACTTAATTTTAGTTTAGTTAGTATCACATGAGAGCTTTTAAGGAGATTGCTTAAATAACTAAGTATTCGTATTCGGAGATAGCAGCGCACTTTACGACGTCTACCAACCGCATAGGAACACACGACGTGTGCCGTCCGTGGGCATGCTGTTTAAAGCACTGCAGTTCGCCAGTTCGTGTTTACTGTATCGATCTTGGCGCCGGTATTCGGTCCCCGTCAGATGACTTGAAGAGCACTAACACACCGCCTCCGCCGCTGTCCATATGAGGAGCCACTTGCTGCAAGCCTAAGCGGCAGTATACAGTTGCCGCCGCCACGCACTGCAAACTCGCAGACCAGACAATAATAATTCTGTAAGTAACAGCTACATTGAAACTTTCTGCTTTCCACCCAATTTGTCTCTTGTCCCTTAAGCTTTTTCCTTTGTATTAGCCCATAAGGTGGACGTACAGAATTGCCGATTGACCGATCTGATAGATTTTAACTATAAATATAATAATAGGGTAGTTGATAAACAGTTCGCGGACAGGTGGTGCGCGTTGTATCGATTAGAGCGACGACGACTCTGCAGTGGGCTATTGATCAAGGGCCGCTTTGCGCCGCGCGCCACCGTTCCAGCCACTTGCCAGTTGCCATCAGTATCCAGAACCAGGTTCCATCGCATCGCATGGCAGTCCTGCTGCGACCTACCTACGACAGCACTATTTTTTACTAAACAAATTCCTGCATCATGCCCAAGAAGAAGCCAACGCCGGTCGAGGACCTTATCATACCGCCACAAGACACAAAAATCTGTGGCACGATATGTTTATGTCAAATGACTTTGGTTTTGAGTAGTGTAGCAATAGTGTATCTGACTGTAGCAATTTACGTGCCGTCCACTCGCGCCATGAAATCAGGCATCACGGAAAATCCAGTTATGTGCACGACTACGCGAGCCGTCCTAGTCGAAACCTGTGATTGGGGCTCCTGCGGCGAATGGTGTCTTAGCAAAACTTCCGGTTCATGTATGCAAATTTTTGTAAATTTAAGGCAGAACGGCTCAAACCTTCTCATGGCTAATTGTACGAATATAGCGCAAAAATTCTGCTACGGCAAAGACCAAGAGAATGCGAAAAAAAATAGGTGCATTGCGGACGAATGCAAGAATTTGACAGGTACATTTAACTGTTCGATGGGCATGTGCATTGACATAACCGATTCCTTTGAATGTATCTACAAAGAAACCGATCCACCTTTGAAATGTTCAGGTAGACGTGGCAAAATCACTTGCATTGATCTTGACGGGCTTTATAATTGTAATAGGGGCACATGCGAACGAATCAGGACACCGTACAATTGTGACAGGCAATGCGGAGACATCCCAACCAGGAATAAAAACGTTATAGTGCTGAGCGGGGACGAAGTTTATTTGTCGCAATGTCAGCGATGTTTGGATGCAGACACGGGTGAAGAAATATGGAACGAAACCCAGGATAACATTCTAATGACTTCATGCTATACAATCCTAAACACCACACGAGGTCTCGAAGCAACGGACTGCATAAACGGTTCACTGTTGCCTAACAATATACTCAGCGACTTGACCAACTTTACATACTTAAGCTACCTAAGCGTGTTCGAAACCACACCGCTCGACGACCGAAGACTCGTTGCGCCTCCAGAACCAGACTTGCTTATAGCGAACGAAAGCAAGCTCCTTATTAACCTGGAGGGCTGCGTCAATACGCTCAGAGACGAGTGCAAGGATTTTCTCAAGTACTACGGAAAAGATGGTACTGACCACAACGCGCGGGCGCGTTTCCCTTGCTTCTTCTCGGCCGAAGATCCAGGAGTTGTAGTCGCTCGATTCGATCTAGCCACCACCACCAAGCAGTTCTTGTTCGCCTCAGTCGTGCCTACAGTATTGTTTTTCATTTCATGTAGCACTCTTATTCTTTGTCAAAAAACTGTTGTTGTTGGCGATGATGCTAAAATGCGATTTCAGAGCTGCGTGAAGAAGGAAGACGACGAATGCGAAGCCATTGAAAAGTCAGCGTCCACCAACAACATGACGGATCGCGGCGGAGGAAATTCGATTATGGCACTCTGAGATCAATCACGTAAGTTTATTGTTTGAATTGTTGGTAAAGTGTTAAAAATGTTGTATTTTGTAGGCGTTCCCCTCCTGCTGGACCGAGACTGAAGATCCAAGAAGCTGCCGAATCCATCGCGCAGGGGAAAGCGTTGTTTTTCGATTTCTTAGCACACAAATTTTTCTTAAGAATTCCTACATAATGAGTGTAATATTAGAAAATAAACAGCTTACACTCATTTCAATTGCAGAAACCGCGAAATTCTACACATCGTTATGTCTTGGAGTAACTGCTTTTATATCAGTATTCGCATTCCTTTTCCTTATACCATTCGTAGTTGAGCCGGGTTTCTCCAGTCTAATGGCGGACTACGAGCCCGAACCGGTCACTTGCATAGCGACCAACCACGTTTACGCCGAAGGCATATCGAATTGCTCGTGGGCATCGTGTCGCGAGGGTTGCACCAAAGAGGCAACGCGCTGTCACCAAATCTACGTCAATTATACCAAAATTCCCTACCGGTTGTTCAAAATGTCCGAAAATATCCACTGGGACGTAGGAGACACCCGATTTCTCATCAACACCGAAGGGTGCGGTTATCCTCCTTCGGTAAACTGTTCAGAGTTTGCTAGGCAGTATGGGTTCGACAGTGCCGGAACACCTTTTCCTTGTTATTATAGCCGCGTTTATCCGGAAATGGTAGTCGCTCGATATTCGTGGGACGATACTCTAAGGCATTTGGTGCTTTCGATCGCAATTCCTAATCTACTATTTGCAGCTTCAATCGGAGTACTGAGCTATTGGTACTGTCCAGGTTGTGGCAGAACCTGTCAAAAGTACATGCATCACTTCCCCACAGAGTAAGTATCAACTATACGTATTATTACCATCAATACAAAACGTAATGATTATATTTTCCTAGAATAAAGCTTAAACGTTGATAAACGGAGTAACCTGCTCATAGGCTCAACTTGTGAAGGTGAAAAAATGAGCTTAATACGAAGGCGTAGAAGGACCAACAAAATGTTTACAAGTTTCAGCCAAAACTAACTTTTATTTTTTGCAATTTCTATCCTACAATTTTATTTCATCCTACAATTGTAGGTTGAACCTACAGTTTTATGTTTAAGTTACAATTGTAACTTAAACTTACAATTGTAAGTATATATAAATTGCACAAATCAAAGTTAGTTTTGGCTGAAACTTGTAAAATTTTTGTTGGCCCTTCTACGCCTTACAAAAAAGCTTAAAATGTACAAAGCTTTAACTTTTTAAACCTTTACACTTTTTACACATACACTGTTTAATTTATCGTTCAAAACTTTACAACTTCTTTATAACATTTATATTTTTCTGTTTCAGAGAGGAAGATTACGACGAAAATCCGTATTAGCACCGAAATAAAATACACGAGCCTTCTAGAATTCTTCCACACATGCTTTTTTCTACTAGTTTTAACCTAAAAACACGTTTTTTGATATAACAAATTTACCAATTAGTTGATTTTATTAACTATAAATATATTTGGAATTCAGGCAACAAAATGTATATTACGAACTGTTAGTACAAAAATATTAATCTGTTAACAAAAAAATTAAAAACCCGATATTGTACATAAATTAATAAAATGGGTGATATTGTTTACAATTGTTTTATTTTATTCCTTATATTAAACAACTAAATGTTATGCTAAAACAGTCCCAAACTATCTAAAACAATCAGACGTCTGCGCGGCCTAAAAGTCCTATTGCGCAGGCGTCTGGCAGTTTGAGGCTCTTATAAAAACAAAGCAAGAAGACTAAATAAAGGAGGAGTAACTCTCAAACACAAGGCATAATACCATAGATATAGTTATTTCTATGCATAATACCTATGTTACGCTATATCGTACGTATTTAAAAGCAACACAAAAAAATATTTTAAGGTTTTTAAAATGAATTTTAATAAGTAATATCGTTCTTATACTATATTTGAGGGATGAAATATTCCATCAGTTCAATTTGTGCATATTAATTAAATATAATCGATTTTAATGTATTAGGAAGTGTTTCAGTGCGTGTATGAATGGCTTTTAACAATTACTTACTTTAATTTAATTAGTAATTTAAAATCGTGTTTAACATGTTGTATGCATTGTTTTTATCGATATTGGAAATGAGGTCTTCAATTAAAAATTAAAATTGTCAACCATGAAATAATTAGGTATTCATAAAATACAAAATGGATGGTTTTCGTTTTTAAAACGCTTGTAAAAATAGTGATTTGGATCTAAAGTGCATAAATTTGAATGTCTGGGACCAGGCAGATAATTTGTTAATGTACTGTCCGGTCGCAAGGGATGAAGGGTGAAAATGTAAACAATGAAATTTCAGCGTCCAATTTCGTGAACGCCTGCGCCTTTTCCTTACGAGCGTGGAAGTTTACAGTCGTTCTTAGACCGATGTAATAGCCTATACGTTAAACTAGAACTCTATCGAAATGTAGAATAAACAAACAAAAAGAACATAAAAATCGAAACTAACGTGCCTTTATTAAGTCCAAGGATATCTAAGAAAAATGGGAAGAAGAAACAAGTGCAAACCCCGTCTAATACCGCCTCAAGATAAAAGAATTTGTGGCTGTATCTGTTTCTGTCAGCTAGTGGTCGTCTTAAGTTGTGTATCTCTGATTTACTTGACCGTTGCGATTTACATACCGTCGTACAGGGCTTTCAGATCGAATTTCGAAGAGAGGCCCGTCATGTGTCAAACAATAAACACCAGCTTGCTCAATAATTGTAGCTGGGCATCTTGTGGCGAATGGTGTCTCACCAAAGCGTCCGGATTTTGTCCGCAAATCCACGCTACGACGAGACAAAACGGCACCAGGGTGCAATTTCAAAATTGCACCCTTTTCAACACGTCGTTTTGCCCACCTGTAAACACCAACAAATTGAAAAGGCACAACTGCAACAACGGCACCGAGTGCAGCTCTTTAAGAGGCGTTTTCAACTGCTCTTTGGGACACTGCATGAACATCTCCCAAATATACGATTGCCACTACAAAGCCGACGGATTTACGGTCGACAGTGACAAAGACAACATGAAGCTGAACGGATTTTTCGAATGCAAAGGCTCCAAGTGCATCAAAATCAAGAAAGCATTCAGCTGCGATCGGATATGCAAAGAAAATGTTACTTCAAATGGTCGCAATATATTTATTAATTCCGGTAACAGTGTACACCAAGCTTACTGCGATCTAGCAGTCGCGACTACGAGAACCAATGGCAACGAAGAAGGATTCGAAATTGAACCAACCAAATTTTGGACCAAGAAACACAACGAAACCTTTATGGTTTCCTGCCATATCGTACACTACAGCCCACAAAACCAAACCATAAAGTAAGCATGATTTGTTAGTAACGCCTTTTATTCATTTCTTAACTTTTACTTCTCCCACAAGTGGGCGAAATAGCATTTAGCCTACGGGCTGAAGTTAGCTTTAAGTAAAAATTGCAAACAGTGAGGTTAAAACTGCTTTATAGTTGTCAGATAAAATGTCAAATAAAATTCCTTGCGGTAGTTGAATAAAATATTGTGTGCGACTGTTGGTCAAAACAGAGATCCAACTCGTGTGCAAACTCTAGAAATTTCATCTTTCATCAAAATACTATTTAGATATTAATCCTTATCATATTTCTAGCGCTACTGACTGTATCAACGGGACTTTATACAATTCATCGTCATTTCCCCAGCCGATCGTGACTTTCCGTCAATTCTGGAGTTTGATGGGAAAGCACAGAGAAGTTTTGGACCCGACTAATAATTTCGTACCCGCGCAACAATATCTAACAATTTACAACCACTCACGTTTACTAATTAACTTGGATGGTTGCGTGAACACTCTGAAAGGAGAATGTTTGCAATTTTTGGAGTCTCACGGAAGTGATGGAAAAAATCAAACTGCCCAAGCAAGATACCCATGTTTTTACAACAAGGTTAGTTATGGTGGATTTAGCCAGCATTTAATGTAATATAAAGTTGGCCAACTTTTAACTTTTCTTAAATTATATTACATGAAAATGAATCTGCGCCAGTGTTGCCACCTCTGTTACTTTTAGCGAAAATATATTACCCTATTACGAAACGATGTAAATCTATTAATTTTTTCTTTCCTAGTAGGAATTTTTTTAAGCTCAAGGTTTGAAGGCCGACGCGTAGCGGAGGCCTACAATTGAGCGAAGCACCAAAAGGCACTTCTTGGCCGAATGGCATACAACATTTTATCTTAAAAGCACTTTATATAGGTCAATTTAATTCAACATCAAAGCGGCATAACCTCACTTTTTTAGAATCTCATTTATTTATTAGCTAAAGATTACATTAAATGTACAATAATTATTATTGCTTTTAGAAGCAGTAATACCTAGCTACATGATTTAAGTAGAAATGGATTTTTGCTATTACATTGAATTCAATTTATTGTTTAATAAATAGGTAGGTAGGTATCTAATTTCAATTTGTTTGGATTTTTATTTAAAAAATAGATAGTTTGGAATGTTTAAGCTGTGTTTAACATTTAATTTCACTGAAAACTTAAAGCAAATTAAAACTTAGAGATAATTTAAATCGTAGAAAAAGAATAGTGCGTTTTCTTGGTTGCCTAACCTCACTTTTTGTTTTATTATTCATATTTAATTTTACAATAATTCAATGAAAACTATTAAATATTAACATTAAAACAAACAAATTAGTGCTTATTATAAATAAATTAAACCAGTTTAGTACGTTAATTTCTTAGAAAAGGATTAATTTGTCAAAACAATACCCCTAGCGAGAAAAAATCGAACTAATTACTTGCCTCATAAAAATTTTTATCGGCCTAGGCCATAACAAGGTATTTCTTTATCGAATGTTGATAACAATAAAGTTTAAATTATAGACCGCGTGGAGATAAAGATAATTATCATTCTGTCAACAACATCAGTTTCAAAAAACACCATGTTTAAATGGCACAATTTTTCGTTAAATTACATTCAATTACGTTCCGTTACATTACATTATATTAAATGCTGGCTAAATCCACCTGTAACATACATAATCGATAAAAAAGAGATATGATCGGATCGATATTGTTTTTTCAGAATACCTCGTTTTCCGTTATTTCAAGATACGATCTCAAGAAAACTTGGCGAGACTTGGTGATTGCCATAAGCATTCCCTCTGTACTTTTCGTGGTTTCCTTCATAACCTTGTGCGCTATAATGCAGTCGGTGAGGGTGGATGACGATACCAAGATGAGATGCAAATACTGCTTTGGCAAATACAACTCGGACTTGACGGAAATGATAACGGCGAACAACAAGTACGAAGTCTCATCGCCAGAGTCCGATGGCGGCGTCTCGCGGAGAATCCACGACATTTCAAGTTAACATCAATTGGTGTAAATTCCAATCAGAGTTTTCCTAGTCACTATAGTCTGCCTTTACACAACTAACTGTTTTAAATGTTGCCCATCATCCACAATAATTTAAAATCCATAAAACAAAACCACCATTTTTGAGATTGAATTGTAGCCAAAAAATTATCTAAATTTGATTTGATTGTGGACTGAAATTGTGTCAAGTGAGCTTTCATTGTTAAATTTGTTGTTGAAGATGGCTTGCAACTATATACCTACTATATTCTAAAAATTATATATACATCTAACTTTTAAGAATCTATGTACTATCAAACAAGACTATGTTCATGTTAGGGTGAAAATATAATCTTGTTTGACACCAAACTTAATATATTTCAAGTAAGTTAATAGAGTATATGTGCCTTTGCAATGACGTGTTAAAACACGTTATGTTTACAAGCCTTATTGTTATATGGATTTTCAAGTGTTTATACTTACTCACAAATATGATATATGTATGTACTTAATACAACATAAAGAAGTGGTCATGACTGAATATACTCCTATGTATAAATTCATTGCTCATTTTTATTATATACAGTTTATTTTTCATCTGAATTCATGTCTGAGATTTAAAATTTATGGACCAAACTGTACCTAGCACAAGTTTTCAAAAAAAAATAGTTGTTTCCTTAGATTATGTATACAAAATTACAAGGTATGAACTACCCGTCCTTGGACTTTTAGTTCTGTGCTATCAAATAAAAAACAAAAATATTTTGTTATAAACTATATGAAATTTATATTTGTTACATTATATTTCATCTATCTAGTTTACTTGTAGATTTTTTAATGTACAAATAAAATGTTTGATGCTATTGTATGTTAATGTCTAAGATATTTATGCTTTGGATTATTTTACTATAAACTATGCACTTTTATATAAATATATAAATTTTTTATTATTTTAAAAATATACATAAGCATATAAATGTTTTAATACTCACTCATTCATTGTATATGTTACTGCATATATGTAGTTTGTGTTAGAATTAAAGGAATGCATATATAACATTTCTTTTATTACATCCCTGTATATACATATATTAAGAGAAACCTAAAGTATCTAAATCTAAAATGTTAATCATATTGCTTGAGTAACTCCAGTAAATCTTCTTTTTCCTGTTCCTTTTCCAATTGCTCCTGCAATAGCCTTTCCAAATTTTCCTGGAATCTCTGCCTTAAAGCAATATTTTCAATGCTTTCAATTTTGTTTTCCTGCTGTTGCCTTTGATTTTTTAAATCCGCAAGTTCCAACTGTATCTCTTCTATTCTAGATTCAATATTTCCTTTACTAATATTTGACGTATATGCCAAACTAGTTGAGGGTTGTTGATAATATTCCATATCTTGCATCATATTCGGTATTTCAAACATTTCATTGGTGAACTCAGTCAATCTGGCATCAGCACTTGTATTCTACAATAAAAAATAACAGCTATAGGTACAAAAAAATGCTTTTATAACATTATAATTTTACCATAACAGAATTTGAGTCACTGAGGTGGCTATCATCAGCAGTATTTTGACTGTTTTCATCAAGTTCCATGACATTTAAATGTGTATCTTCTTCCTCAGAGTCACTAACATCCCCTCCAAATATATCATGCTCAGCCACATTTTGATTTTGGGGTTCAATAGGTTCTTTTTTAATAACCGTGCCCTTATTCACTTTGTTATCGTCATCTTCATTTATAACCTCCCATTTCACACTTGCCTAAAATACATTATCATTTTAACACATGTAATTGGTAATAAACAAACTTACAGCATCGTTATCAATTCTGAGCAACCTCTTGACTTCCTTCTCGATTTCTGGCGCTTCAACATACTTTTTCTTCAAAGTCTTCCTAAATCTCCGTTTCCTAACATTTTTCACTGGTGGAGTAATACCATGCGGCCATAAATACTTTTTCTCGACCTTATTAGGGTCCTTTTTCTTAACTTTCTGGGGAGAATCTTCATCAGTTGTTTGGTCGTCCTCGTCCTTACACAAAAGCATCTGGCAAACATCTGCAGTCTTGTAAAATCCTTTTGCATCGATTGTTTTTAGTGATTCCACGATTGATGGTAAATCAACCACTTTGGCTGCCATAATCCAATTATCAACGCGAACATCACCATGCCGCATATCATTCTCGATTTTTATCGTTATGCGGTCCTTCAGAGTGCTGTTATTTCTTATGGCTTCCCTTAAAGCTTTTGCGGGGTCCTAATAAAGTATACAATAGTTTAAAAACGTTTTTTATAATCAAAGAACAATAAAAACTTACTAGAGGCAGGCGGAGAATAAACTGGGACTCCAGTTCCGCCGGCATATCATCTTTATGCATTTTCAGGGCGAATATTGTAAATAGAATGTAAACATAACCTAAAAAATGTATTTTGAAGGCTGTCGAAAATTTGACAGTTGACAGGTTTGAAAGTTTAAAGTTAATTATTATTATTATTCAATAATTATTAATTAATTATTATTATTATTCAATACTCGCAAGAAATACTGAGGGTAGGCGAAATAATGAATTCCCTAATTTAGCTTGGCCAAGTTAAATTTGGAGTATGTTTGACAGTAAAATTGGCTACCTACCTTGATACAAAAATATTGTGTGCGACTATTGGTTTTGTTTTGTCTAGGGTTCTACCTATGGTTCTACCACTAGTCGCACAATATAGGTACTATTTTTCTTTAATTATACAGGGTGTCGCAACAATTTTAACACATTTTAGCTTATGCCCTTTTCTTTGAGATACAAATTTATAATTTAAAAAGAATTGGTAGGTATTATTTGAATCACAAAAATGTGTAAAATTTGTATTTAAGGGTAAATATTGTTATTATATTAGGGAGTCAAAGTCAAAAGATGTAAACATCGCGATTTTTACTGATAAGCCGTGTTATTTTAACCGGATGTTGTTCAATGCTTAAACATATTATTCTTTATTTAAATTTTTATCATTTCATAGAATTACTTATCTATATTTTAATTAAGAATATGTTTAATCTTTTAATAGAATTGTCTGTTTTTAAGGATTTGAGTTTAAAAAAATATATAATTATTGATAAAAGTATTTTATTAGTTTTTCAGATATATCAGATATTCTGTAATGGATAAAGGAAAATAAATAAAAAGGTTTATTCAAAGAAAAGATAAAAAACAATGTTGATAAAAATTAACAATATAATACTTGTTACAAATTTCGGCATACATTACTTTGATAAACCTTCTAAATGAACAAAACTTTATTGATATAAAAATTGATGTATGTTTTTGGTTTGTTTTTCAAATAAATAGCATTTACAGTCTTGGTATAAAGAATTTGTAAAAAAGCCAATATTTACATCAACTATATACTTAATTTGCACCTTTTATTATTATATCTAAGCACAAAAATAATTAATATTCTGCCAAGATTTGTTATATGTAGGTACAGTATGCAGGATAAGCTAAAATAAGGGTGGTATATAATAATTGAAAAGTCATACTTGACATTGAATCCAAAAGCAAGGTTGAGAATAAGAAACCTGGGAAAAATCACGATTTATTAAAATTATATAATTACTTCAAATACCCTTAGTCACAAATTATAAAAATAATAATTTTATCAAGTTGTTTACGTGAAATATCTAAGAGGATAGCAATTTGAACTAAATAAACATCTTAAACATGTAGTATATGTCCTTGATCTTTTAATGTTTCCAGAAATTCTCATACTTGTTTAAATGAAACACAAGTAGCAAAAATAAATGAAGGTATTATACAATGTTTCATAAATATCAACGGATTTGTTTACAATTTAAAAATATGTTTATAACCTAAAGATTTCTTTGTAAAATGTCAACATTTCACAGAAAGCAGAAAATTTATACACCTAGAGTAAATAACAAAGAGATTTTGCCTGTTATGCTTGATAAATAAAATATAAAAAACTATCTAGTAGTAAAATATCTTTGTTATGCACTTTGCTCTTCGAATGGTAAAAATTTAATTGTCCATAGCATATCGACGGGTCCACTCTTTAGCATTTCGAATGGCTTCTGATTCGTTTACTTTCCATAGTTCGGCAACATCATTTGCTAAGGGGTCGTCTGGGTTTGGAGCACTAAGCAGGGCTTGAATTGATAAAAGAACTGTACGAATTTGTAAAGCAGGACTCCACTTGTCCTTTAGTATGTCCAGGCAAATTCTTCCTAGTCTGTCTATGTTGGGATGGTAAATTTTCGTGATAAATCTTACTTTGGGCGCAGACATGGGGTAATCTTCCGGCAAAAACAGTTCCAACTTAAACAGGCCGCCTTCGAAGGGCGAATCCTCCGGCCCGGTAACAATTACGTGGAAATATCGAGCGTTGCTGTCGTCGGGGACCGCACTAATACCCGGCACGGGTTCTTGCATTAATCTTTGCGTTTCTTTGATAATTCTGCGTGGTAAGGCTGCCATTTTTTGCTTATCAACGGTAAAAAATTACTTGTGTATCGTGCAATTCACCACTTCACTATAAAATAAAATGTTAATACTATTGCCGTTTAACTCGTCTCTACAATCGCACCTTTCATTATCTTACAACTGCTACTTTTTACTTCTATTTTATTGCAAATAGATTAAGGATTCAGACATTTCACCGTAAAATATGCGGTTGCTTTGGACAAGTTCATTACGCTAGACGCTTGCGTCACCTTTCACCCGCCAAATTTAAATACCCTCTAATTTATAACAATCATACTCAATTACATATCTATCTCCACCTTTTTATCCCAACAAACTCATGAAATAATTTGTTATTTCATTGTTCTAGCTTAATAATAATAAATTAAATTGTATATTTTGCCGTTTTTACAATTTATCGCATGTTGTCACTACTTAACCCTTAAATATGGCAACAAAGCATTTTTATAAAAACAAAATATTAATTAAACACTATTTGGGATTAGGAAAGGAATTATAAACAACATGAAATCTAGTTTTGTATTATTTTATTCATGAAAATACATTATAAAGGCTTATAACAGCAATAAAAGATATGTTCGCAGACATTACATACTAATCTAGAGTACACTATATAATCCACAATATTTATTTAATTAAAAAACCAAATTTAAATAGTAGGTTTTAATTTAATTAACTAGGTATATAAAAAAATCAAGCACTGATTAATTAACAAAGTTTAAACTGCAATAAAATTAAAGTGACTACCTTGAGCTAGACAATAGTCTATGGTATAGAAATTTGTTAAAAAAAAGTAAAGAAAGCAAATAAAGTACAAAAGAATTGTGTTTGTAAGATTGTGGCAGGGCCGGATTTATCACGGAGAGAGCGGGGCTATGGCCCCAATACGAAGGCGTATTTTTTTAGTTTTAGCCAAAACTAACTTTGATTTTTGCAATTTCTATTCTATAATTGTAACTTGAACTTACAATTGTAACTTGAACAATTGTAAGTTCAAGTTATAATTGTAAGTTCAAGTAAATTGGGCAGAAGTAGTGATAAGAAACAGAATAAAAGCATAAACATTCTCTAAATGACTCTCGATTATCAAACCGTCGATTATTCGATTATTTTATTATTATAATAATAATATTATTATTTAAATAAAGAATGTTCTGTCTGTCCACGATAAGTTGGGGGACCGAATGAATTAAGTTATTTAGTAACTCAACAATTGTCGTGTTGTGTGCTTTTAAAACGTATTTTTTATAATATAAATAATAGTATATACTATAGTATATATATATATATATATATATATATATATATATACCATTATTATAAGTTGGCCGAGCAAAAAAATATTCATGCAATTTAGATAAATAATATTAAAAAACATACCTACTCAGTTATGTTTTTTATTATTATTTAAATATATTTATATTTAATTATATAATATTATATAATTTATATATATAAATAATAATAAAAAACATAACTGAGTAGGTATGTTTTTTAATATTATTTATCTAAATTGCATGAATATTTTTTTGCTCCGCCAACTTATAATAATGGTCAAACGCATTTTTTTAAACTATTAGCGATTAATCAAATACTCGATTAATCAAATAATCGAATAATTAATAATCGATTAATCAAAAAATCGATTAATCGAAAAAATTGATTATTTTAGATAATCAATAATCGATAATGAATTTCGATAATCGCAGCCCTAGTCTGCACAGAAGCCGTTTTAAGGTTATTGGGCTTATAAATACGTTATGCTTGCCTTTAAATAATATTATAATATTTCTTTTTGCTAAAGCCCCATTTTGAAATATTGTTCCATAGATACCTATTAAAAACAATAAATTGGTTATACCTACTATATAGAGAAGAAACAATAAACTTACTTTTAGGTTAATCCTACAATTGTAACTTGAACTTACAATTGTAGGTTCAAGTTACAATTGTAACTTGAACTTACAATTGTAACTTGAACCTACAATTGTAAGTTCAAGTTACTATTGAAAGTTCAAGTTACAATTATAGAATAGAAATTGCAAAAATCAAAGTTAGTTTTGGCTAAAACTTATAAAATTTTTGTTGGCCTTTCTACGCTTTCGTACCCCAAGGCCTTCACCAATGCAAACTTTGCATTGCATTGCAAAGTAGCTTTTAAATTAAAACGAAATTCATCAAGAACGCTTTACCAATCCGATGATCCTTAACTAAGTAATTAGTTTAAAGAGTGATATTCTTTATAATTGGAGTTGATGATTTTTTTCAAGATTACCTTCATATAAATAAAAGATACTTAGAAGATATCTTGTAGACCTTTAATTTTGTTGTAGCGCTGAGTGAAGGAGTCGCTTATTAGGTTCATTCCAACCAGCAGTAATATTACCGTAATATTATCGTCCGTAACAGCGTTAATGCGACTGCGCGAACAAAAATAGTAAAATTATTTTGAATAATGTATAAACTGGTTGGAACCTTTTTTGAACTGGTAGTACTTACAATCAGAAGAAAAAGAATATAACCCAAAACCCACAATTGTATTGTGCTAAAAGCTAAGTAAAGCGCATATAGGTATATCTATTTCAATAAAGTAATAAATATGGCAGGTTTTTTAAATAATTACTTGTATGATTCTTCGGATGACAAGGAATTAAGATTTTATTGGGGACATTGCTACTAGAAATAAATATAACCCACGTTTGTTGAGTTTATAAATATATATAAAAGTATATTTTAATAACATCACACATTGATAATAAATTCTTCCATTCCTGCTCACAAATGACAAAAATTAGATGTACCTATTAACATTAAAAATTAATAAAATCACCTTGTATAGCATTTATTTTTAAATAATATGTCCACTTTAACAGAAAACAAACTTACAAACGTTAATAAATAAACAAAAAGATGAGGTTATGTGCCCCTTCTACGCATGCGTCTAATTTTATTATCAACAGTTCTTGCTCTCGAGCAAGAATCGTTTGAACCGTAATTTAACTGTTCGTAACTCTGGTTGGAACGACGAACTGACAGTAATTGCCAGTTCTAAACTAGTAATTTTAGTTGGTTGGAACGACATTTTACAAACGCGCATGTGTATCAGTAATATTACTGGAAATTACTGCTGGTTGGAATGAACCTATTAATCAATGGTTCACTCAACGGTTGTAGTCTAGGGACCAAATCAAGTGCACATTTTCCACTTTCTCTGGGTTCTGCAAAGAGCCGGTGCATTTTTAGTGTCAAAACTACCAACCAAAGAACACCAACTACCACGAAAAGTCACTAAACTTGTCCTGTCAAAAAATTTAAATGAAAACATAAGCGGTAAGAAAATGCCTTATTTTTCCAATTATTTCTCTTGATGTGGTATTTTAGATTTAATAAATTAATAATGTCGGCCCCAACGCATCATTTTATACCAAATATGAACAACCCCCAAGCAAACACAATGAGAAACTCGTTTGGGCCAAATTCAATGCAAGCCCAAATGAACCCAAACATGCAGAACCCTTTAGGCCAAAATATGCCTGTACAAATGGGCAACATTGGAAACCCCATGATGTCCCCAATGTCCAATACAATGAGCCAACAAATGAGTCCAGCCAATCAAATGAATACAAATCAATTAATGGGGCAAATGGGGCAACAGTATAGCATGTCCCCTGTTGCACAGATGCCACATCAACCGCCGCAGCCAATACCAATGCAACAACGTGCTATGGGTAAGTGTTAATGTTCATCATTAAAATAATAAATAAGTGCTATTTCTGTACATTTTAGAATTTAGCAGTGGTTTACAACATCATGAGATGCCCCAGCAAAATCCTGGTGTTACACCAACGCCACCTGTACAACAGCAGCAACAACAACAGCAGCAGCAACAACAGCAGCAGCAACAACAACAACAGCAGCAGCAGCAGCAACAACAATCCAAAGAATTGAATACAGCCTCTTTATGTAGATTAGGACAAGAAACAGTTCAGGATATTGTTAGTAGAACTCAGGAGGTCTTCCAAACATTAAAAACTATACAGGTAAAGTATTTAGGTAGTATTTTAATTAATACATGATTCAAAAGAGTTATTAGTTAGTTGTTACATACATTATTAATATTTTTAGCCCCCAAATGGTACCCCACAGTCATCAAACCAAAGCAATGAGAAAAAAGCTAAAGTACAAGAACTCCTGCGCACAATAAGGGTGCTGTTTAAGAGGTTAAGGCTTATTTATGAAAAATGCAACGAAAATTGCCAACTGCAAGGCATGGAATACACACATATAGAAAGTTTAATACCGTTTAAAGATGAATTGGATCCTAAGCATGATGAAAAGAAAAATTCAGAAGCATACAGGAATGCTTGCGAAGAAAGTAAAGAAGTTATGGAACAAGTTGTTCTTAAAAATAAACAGCTTAAAGAGGTTATAGATCATTTAAGGAGGATTATATGGGAAATTAATACTATGCTAACTATGAGGCGGTCTTAACATTAATTTATAATCTAGAATTTAATTTTATACAAAAATTTCTTTTATTTATTGTTGATTTTATTGTGTAGTTAATGTTCTGGAAGGTTTCTTGAAATTTGCGACATTACTTTCTATAGAAAGCAATAAATAAATCAGAGCAAGGCATTCTCCACAGCACACTAGGAGGAATGGCTGATTGATGTTTATGGAGATAATTTTATAGAAAGATAAGCCGCAAATTTCAAAAAACCTTTGACCATTATTATTAATTTATTTTTTGGTTTATAGTCTTGTTATTTAATTTAACATGTATTAAAAATATGAAATTGAAGTGTTTTTTACGAATTCAACAATAATTTTTAATTATTAAAAATTCAGATTGTATTCTAAAATTTATATTTAAAATTAACATAATTCTATAGTAAAGATGATGTTCCCTTTAAATTTTGTTTTTTGAAGCAAAAAATTTTTTAAGCCCCTTTGAATTATTTTATTTTAATTCAAAATGTAATTAAATTACATTTTTTTAATAGAGTACAAAAATCCACCATTTAGTTTTTTAAATTCAACTTTAAGAATGTAATTAAATAAAAAATCATAGTTTTCAAAACTTTATAATAATACATAAAATTTTAATAGGTAAGTAAACATGAGATAAATAAGTCATGTCCCACAATAATAAACAAAGTAAATTTCTAAATCACACACATTTCTAAAAAAAATCATTGCTATTCATAGCTAGCATACAATTATCACAAATGGACGACTGCGTTAAAGTGTTACAGCCAAAACATTTATTCATCAAATTGTTGACAATACAATTAATTTCATAGTCATCATCTTTAATGTGGGTTTCTGCTAGTAGTTGTAGCTCGGTTTGTTTTAATTCCTCTTCAATTTCTCGTATTAAATCTGCGACTTCTTCAGTTTTCAGCAACGAAGTCGCCTCAAAATCCCTCGCAAAAAGTTTATGAAAGTCTGTTATACTCTGGCATGCTAAGTACTCAGGGGTTTCACAAATTTGCCTGAATCTGTCCACGCTTTTGCTTCGCGTACTCCTTAGTCGGTTTATAAAATTCTAAAAAAAAAATAATAAAACAACTTTCATGTCATAACAATTAAATACCTGTCTGAAATTCTTTTTTAAAGTCCCCACATGGCATCTACCTTCAATACATTCACTTTTAGCACGTTCATAACGATTCATTTTTCTTGAAGCCATGATCGTTTTAAATTCTAAACAAAAAATCCCATTTGACTTTTGACAGACAACAGCTGACATCTAGGTGGCCGTATAATGGGTTGCGGCCAATCAGGCGCAATTGTGTAAATCACTGTTGGCGTTACTATTTTGTTTTTGAATGTCTGTACTTTAAAAATCAAAAGCATACAAATATTACATAATACTGTCTATGATTAAAAGTGAGGCCAAATTTTGTGAATTATTTTTAAAGTATAAATAATTATAATATAATAAGGAAGTAAAAAAAAAAAATAGTTGAATTTGTATTGCAAAATATTGAAAATTCGCATTTTAAGAGAACTTAATTCGCAAAACAAATAGGTTTGAAATAAAGTTAGTGTGGTTTGGAATATGAAAACTTATACTAATTAAAAATTTGGCAGTGAAATGGTAAGTACTAAACTTTTATTTTACTTTTAAATCGCTGTAATCGTTTTAATTTCCACAATTAAAACTTCTTAACTAAAAAAACTACTTACCCAAGTACATGAAAAAAATATTAGATAAATACCACGGCTATGAATTATATTATAATCCACGGGCTTACTTTAACCCTGATGATCTAGTACTTCAGTGTTGTCTAGTACAATTGTACTAGATCTAGTACTTTTTTAATACATTCTATACCCTAGTACCCTTGGATCAAAATCTAGTACTTTTTGATATATGGCCCTAAAAATAAAATAACAATTTTTTACCCTACTTAGTTAAAATTATTATAAATTTCAAACGGATACACGCAACTATAAATACATATTTAGAAACATTGGGCGGAATGATAATAGATGGCGACACCCACCTTGTGGCGAAACCTACTAAACCAACCAGCTAAAGAGAGTTGTTGCGCATGACTGTCACTTGTCATTAAAAATTCTGATAGAAACTTTCTGTATTTTGAAAAGTGTATATAATTATTAAGTTTATATAATTATTTTATAATATTAATAGGGGGATATTTATTATGGAGAGGTAATTATACCATTTATATTATGAAAGTAAAGTAGTATTAAATGCAATAACTATATATTACGTAATAGTACTATTAAACTAAATAAATAAAAAAAAATTTTCCCCCCTCCTTACCTAAAACTTTATTTTTGAGTTCTGAAAATATGGTACTTTTTTTTAAATCTGGTACTTTTTTAACTGAAAACTAGTACTAGGTGTTTGAAAATAAGTTCTGGCAACACTGTAGTACTTCCGTTAAAGAATTTCGGTAACCTAAATGATCTGTTGGGCACGAGCGTAGCTTGAGAATAAAATTAATTGCATATAGTCGAACATAATTGTGTAGCAATATTTTTTAAAATTTAAGATCAATTTTATTTGACATTTTATCTGACATCTCACAACTGTCAAGCTGTAACCTTACTTTTCACCAATTTTAACTAATTAGATAGCTTAAGCTTTAACTAGCTAATTTAACTAACATGCATTAATTTACTTAATGTCAATGTAATGTCCTACGTAGGACTATAGATAGGAATTATAATTATAATTGGAAAAAGTTAGGTGAAACGTTTTAGATAGGTAGTTTAAGTATAGCGTTGACTCAAGGCCTATAATGGACAAATTTTCGGACGCGTTCGAGAATTTAAAACCTAAAACTGAGCTTTTTTGGTCTAAAAGTTGCTCGCGCGGACATTTAAGTAGGTGAAGATGTCGCCTTAACTAAAATGTTTTATTAAACATGATTAAATGGACAATTATTTGTTCGGATCGATATAAATTTGATAAATTACTTTCGCCGCACCTTTAAGTTTCCATAGTAACGTGGCTTCAAGGGTGGTCAGTTGGAAGTTAAGGGATTTGTTTTATTTTGTCATGATACAAAATGGGTAACAAGTTGGTTACTTTTACTGACCAACAGCTTGAAAATTATCAGGTATTTAGCTTTATAATAAAATGTGTTGTGTCGTTAATACGATGGTATGTTATTGTAGGATTGTACGTTTTTTACAAGAAAAGATATTTTAAGGTAGGTTAAGTTTTTGGTGGTTTATATTTTTAGGGGTTGTTTTTAAGGGTTTATAAGAGATTTCGTGAGGTGAGGCCGGACTTGGTGCCAAAACGTATGAAGCAAAATGAACCTATTACAGTGAAGATTCCACTTGCAGATAGTATAGAAAAATTAACTGAATTAAGGGTAAAATAAGAGCGGCATTGTTCTGTATAATTATGTCGAGATTATTTTTAGGAGAATCCTTTCAGAAAACGCATTTGTGAAGTATTTTCAAGGGATGGAAAAGGAAATCTCTCTTTCGAGGATTTTTTAGATTTACTATCAGTTTTTAGCGAGCAAGCGCCGAGGGACATTAAGGTTTTTTACGCGTTTAAAATATATGGTAAGTTTTTGTGTCAAGTCCCCCTAAGGGGCGAAAACATAGCCAGCATTTGTTTGCATTTTGTAGGGGCCGATAAAGCTTAAGAAAAATTATATATCAAATTTAAGTTGGTGACAAGAAGTAGCCTAAAATTGTCTACAAAAGCCCGGATGGCCCCTTAACGCAAAAAAATGGTGGCATGTTTAGAGGTATAACGAAAACTAAGTAATCAGCAAATCGATACGAAAAACATTAAGCAAAAAGAAATTAGCATCCAAATAAAAATTAAATTACACTTTTACGCCCCCAGGAAATAAAAAATAATTATCACTTCAAACAACTTGTTACACATCAATTTTGACGTTCCCCTTGGCTTTAGTTACCTAATCTGCTTGCAATTAACAGAATATAATACATAGTACTTACCATTTCATTGCCTCATGCATTTTCTTTTTAAAACTGAAAATATCATTTTAATTGTTTACTAGCGAGATTTTATATAGAATTATGTATAAAAGCAAATTTGGAATATTATTATATATAATTGTATAGAATTTTATACCCAATTATATATAATTATATACAGTGTGTCTACTTAATTAACAAAGACCGGATTTTAGGCCCTTAAAAATTGGAAATTAGGACACATAAATAGGCAATAAAAACCTACATGTTAGGCCGAAAGTGTCTAAAATAGGCCTCAACCGCCTAAAATAGGCGATATGAAATAAAAACAACACGATTAAACATAACATAAACTCTTGCAAACAATTGCCCGTATGAATAAAGAAAATGAAAACCTTCCTTGTAAAATTTAAAGCAAATCTTTTGCTAATATTAATATATCTATATATTGGAATAAACAGGCGACGCTGAACAAAAATATAAACAAATACCTACAAACAAAAGCACGATACGTTGATTCCAACGGTTGTCAAAGTTGGCTTTTGCCATCTATTGTCTTTATAGAAAAACTATTTACCACCTGTAAATTGTGGAGACTTAATTAATTATGCCATAGATGGCGACAAATTATATTACTAAAAACTGTTAAAAAGTCTGAAATTACCATATATGTAATACATACATATATGGAAATTACAGTAAAACCTATGTAAACAAAGTAAATAATAATTTTCAAGCATTATTTTACAAACTTAATATTATCCATAATTATTAATAATAAATATTTAGATAGCAAAAACACAATTACTTTTTTTATTAGGTTTTCACTAGTTTTGTAATTTGTGGTCCTCGTACTCGCCAAATAAGACCGAAATAAGAGCATGAAAGCAGGGTCTAATTAAAAATAATTTACTTTTCCGCAATGAAAAATATATTTTTTACTGAAAAATTAAAAGAGCCTATTTAAGGCTCATAAAAATGTCCTTTTAGGACAATAAATCAAAATTTCGCCATTTTAGGCTTTTAGGCAAAAACTAAGGGGTGTCAAACGCTTTATTTTTTTAAGTTTAGGACTAATTTCAAGGTCCCAAACAAATGCCTAAACTAGAAGCAAAAAGGCATTTTGCCTAAAATCCGGTCCTTGTTAATTAAGTTGGCAACAAAAGGGAAACTTTTTTATTATTAATTTTAAGAAAAAAAGTTATTCTTCATAAAAAGTTCTGCTTGTTCTAAAATTTAAAATACAATTATCAGATACCTATAACACAATTTCAGTCGTATACGCGGTTTGTCAAAAAATATGAATCTTACTCAAGAGTAAAGTATACCTTTATATTTGACAATATCGAAAATTCTTATTAAAAAAAGTTGATCAGAACTTAAAACTACGTTCAAATATGCAATTTTACATGGAAAAAAATATTTTTTTCTTTTTTGTTTACAATAACAATGCAAATGTAACTGTAGTTACATGTAATCTATAGATCCTAGGATGCACTGATCAACAAATGATTTGTTGATAGCAAGAAATGTTTGGCATTGAATGTCAGTAAAAACATCAGAATTTGCTTACTACTATCTGAACGGAAGGGAAAGGTTATCATAAGAAAAAAAAAATTTGTTTTGAATGCGTTCCACCAACTTCAAATACCGACAGACAGCTGTTTCGACCTATATTGGGTCTCATCAGTGTCGGGCAAAATGGTGTAGTGGAACACACTCAAAACAAAGGACTCCCTGACCTTATATGCTCGATTGGTAAGCCAACAGAGGCGAGATGTAAGATTACCAGTAATGGATCAAGAAAGTTTCTTAAAGAAACTGAGAAAATTTAATGTTTACCTTAAAGGTTATCATGTTTGTAATAAAAAAAATGTTCGGTATCGGTTATTTGAGAAAAATTTGTAAAAAAAAAATTTAAGGAGAAGGATGTATATATCCTTCTACTTAAAAATTATAATTGCATATTAAAACATAGTTTTTCATTCCGAACAACTTTTCAAAAAGGTACTTTACTCTTGTACCAAATTAATATTTATTGTCAAACCTCGTATATGAAATTTGACATCTTGTGAAACATCCTGTATATATTTACACATATATTTACCTAATATTAATGATGACTTAATTACATATTTTATTTTTAAAATGCAACATTTGCTTAATATTTGTTAAAAATTAGCATGTAATTCATATGCACATGTGGACAAGTTTGGACAGGATATGATTTAAGTGGCATAAACCGTGTTTTTTGTAAAGAGAGTGTGTAATATATTCTTGTACACGGCCGTAAAAGGCGGATATGTGTTGCAGATTTTGACAGCGACCAACATATAGGACCAAATGATATTGATCAGGCCTTAGCACTATTGACTAGGCAAGAATTGATGCCAGAGGAAAAACAACAGATAATCGAGAAAGTCATAGAAGAGGCCGATGTCGACGGGGACGGCAAACTGTCATACATGGAATTCGATCATGTTATAACCAGAGCGCCGGATTTTCTCTCAACCTTCCATATCCGTATTTAAATTTAATTCAAATCAAAATTCTTTACCTCTATTGTTGTCATTGCCATTTTATCAGTGCCTTACGCTCCCAATAAAATTTCGTTTTTAATATAAGTTTTATTCACAAAAAAATCCCCATAAATTACCTATGTACCTACTGACTGAGGCGTACGCACGAGCTGAGTTTTCCACAAATTAAAAGAAAAAAGTTTGAAACTCTTTTTTAACATAACATTTCTTTTTTGGTATTATAAAGTTGCAAATTTGCATTAATGTCCTAATTAAAATTCCTATAATGTCTTTTAACTTTGAACTGCCTAAAATGTCTAAATTTTAAACCATGAAACCTAAACTAATACTAAAACACTAATTAAATTGGCCCAGTATACCTACTAAGATTTTGTTAAAAAAACATATGTATATGTATATATATTTCAACATCCCGTCATTAGTCTCAAAAAGTTAGCAAAATTTTTTATTTAAAATTTAAGTATAGTAATAAACCGTATTAAAATCATTTTATTAGAGTTTGAGCAAATTGCCTGAAAAATATTAATACTTAAAAATTTAATAATTCATTCTGAATATATCTGATATGTAGATACATACATGTGGGGTGAACTACCTCAAGTGAACTCAGTTTTTTTATCATTAAAAACAAATTTTACACAGCTGTGCCTTCAGGCTGTGCTTTTGAAATTATTTAAAGAATTTACACAAATTGCTGGAAATTAACATTTAAATTTAAATTGTTCATGTAACAAATATTCTAAAGTTATTTCGAGTTTGGCCTCTTATCTTTTTCTTAAATCATTTTGCTCTCCATTAAGCTTAATACAGGCCCTCGGGCACCATTTTCATGGAATACGCGTATACTGCATTTGTTACTTTTATTTTAGTTTTTAGACAAAATATAAACTCTCTTTTATATTGTTAATTCAATTGGAATAATAAAATAATCAAATGATGTAGTAGTGTAGGCTATTCTTTTTACATAATACTACATTATGTAATCATATTTTTTTTTCACAAAAAAACTTTTCAAGTTGTTTCTAAGGATACCAATCAAACAACGAAAGTTTCCTTTTATAGTGTTAAAGTTTATTACTTTTAGTTGTTTATCCTGATCTATTTGATAATATAATTTTAATCATATTAGTTTTAAGACGAAATCTTTACTTATTATAAACATAATTTAACTTTTTACCAAGTTCTGAAAGTGAAATGTATCGGGTACAGAAGCAAATTGGATGCTTTGACATTGGTTAAGGCAATGAAGAATAAAGATTATCATTTTTATGTTGGCGCGTTGCATTTAAACATCCTTGATTGCAAAAAAATACAACATTTTTATCTACGTTTTGTTAAAGTTAGACCTCAAAAGAAATCAAAACGACTCCGGAAAATACTGAAGGATCTTTGATCAAAGCTACACATTTAACGGAGTTAGGAAAAATATGAATAAGGGTAGGAGAAATCCGCACAGTACGATAAATTAAAAAAATGGTAGGAGAAATTCGCACAGTAGAATAAATTTAAAAAATGATCGGAAAAATTAAATTCACAATTCGGGTTTTGGGTAATTGAAAACTGCCCTTACATGCATAAATTTAAAAAAATGGACACATCCGCATAGTAGTTCAAAATTAAAAATTAGTGAAAAATATTCACATAATGGCCTTTATTTAAAGAATGGTTGGAAAACATTCGCAGAGTGGGATGAATTTAAAAAAATAAAAAATTAAGTTTTTTTTTAAATTTTATTCAAAATATTCAAAAATTAAAAATTTTCCAAAATTAAAAAAAAAACTAGTAATTTCTCTTTCCTATTTATAAATTATTTCTATACCATAATATTCTGGCTAATCCTTTTAAAGCTAAATAAATTAAAATTGCTCAATTGGATTAAGGTTGTGGATGTCAACTGAAGTCATTAGTAATAATATGAGCAAATTCCGAATTTAATGTAATTATTTGAGTATCACAGTTTAAATATACTCACTTAATAAAAATACAAAGCAGATATTTTAGTTAAAAAAAGAGTTTCCCTATTATCTTCTTATTTAATTACAAGAGTGTTAAATTGAGATTTGTTTAATTGTGTGGAAAATTAACCAATTAGGTATGACAAGAAGCCAATTAGAATCAATAAAACACAAACACCACGTGAATATTTTTATATTTATTGTCAAAAATTTACAATCAACTCTTGTAGATATATATCTCAACATTAATAACTTCGGAAAAATATCATTTTGATGCACAGCTCACTGGATCAGGATATAGGGTAACAGTTAGGCAAAATATATATTTATATATCCCTCCATTTGAAAAATAGACAAAGCAACTGTTTCATTGTTAGAGTATGCTATCGTACTTAATTATAGATATATTTATACACATATATAAGATTTTATGTAGAAAAATATTGTAGATACAATAGTTTTAGCCTGAATAGTTTGGTACACATGATAAATAGCTTCACAAATTCTTAAAGACTTGATTGTCGTCTTATTTGAGAATAAGAACATAGGTACATATATAGTGTTATAAAGTTAACATTCAATATAAATATTTTTAACAAAAAAATACATCCTCTATACAAACAGTTTAATATAGTACATCATTTCTCAACCTGGGGGTCGCGTTCAGGAACAAGGGGTGTAGAAGGTCTAGGTCAAGGCCTGAGCACAATTCCGCGCGCAACGTTTTTTACTTAACTTTTTTGTTATTTTTGCGACACTAAAAAGGCTGAGAAACGATATTATTGTACCTACCCAGCAAACAGAGAGTCACGTTTAAAACCCGTTGAGGTTTCGTCAAATTTCGCCCAAAAGATGTGATTAAAAAACGTAAATATCACGTGTAAAATCCGTTGAAATGTCACATTTCTAGGACGTCATTTAAGACGTTAAAATCAAGTACCAACAAAAAGGCACACTTTGACATTTCAATGAGAAACGCAGTTTTATGATGACAATATATTAATGCCTAACCGATAGAACAAACCGTAAATAACGTTGGATATCTGTCAAAGTATAGTAGGTACGAAAGAAAAATAAAATTTATAAATGAAATTATATATATACATATATATATATACATATAAAAATGAAATTATTGCTTTACGTTTAACTGTCATGTAATTTTACTTAAAAATTTGTTTTGTTAACTATACTTTGGCAGATACCTAACCTTATAATGCGTTGTCATCAAAAGACTGCGTTCCTCATTGAAATGTTAAAGTAAGGCCCACTTTAATTTCGGTGTAGACGAAAGTACATACCACGTTTAGTTGATGCAGAATAAAGGTTGAAATAAAAAAACACAGCAAATACATATATATTTATTGAAAACACGTTGCAGTTTGCAAAAAATTACCTAGAAGAAACAGAATCAAAATATTGCCCAAATAAAAACATTTACCGAAATTAAATAAAAGCTTCTTATTCTACAAGAGAACCGGCTAAAAACCCTACAGAAAATACATTATTCTTTAAATATTACAATCAGATTTAAGTAAGCGCTATAAATTGTGTACAATTATTGTACAAAATTAAAAAAAAATTAGCGGTATTATTTTAACCGCTATTAATAGCGTAATACCGGTAAATAAATATTTTTTTCGATTGAAGCATGCAGATACAAGTGGAAAAATAGATTAACTGTTACATACCTGTTACACTTGGAGATAAATTCACAATAAAACAGCTTATATGTATATTAATATTATATATTAACGGTAGGCCATAGGGTTACAGCTGGCTTTGTACCACGCATATATAACACGCCATATAATTGAGAATCGGGACGTGATTAAAACGTAATTTTTTTCGTTTTAATCAGGTAAATTTTTGGTTTCCTAAAAACGTTATATTTACGTGAATTTTCCGCTTCGCTGCGTGAGGGGACGTGACTCTGTTTGCTGGGTATATCTATCTATACACTTTCCAAACAAATATCACTACTTTACTTAACACACCTAACTGATGAATAAAAAGATCAGGCCAACATCACAGATTTAGTAGAACAAGTCAGAAGATCTTGATTTAACGAATGGTGGACGATCCGTTAAAGGTTTAAGTCGATCAGTTTTCATTTTTTGCGATCGCGAATTGAACGATCTGGGCTCGGTTGGTTTTGGTGCAACTTCAACGGTTGGTGAAGGGATTTGTTCACTATCGGCTGGATAGCACGGTTTCGGACGTAACTGTTTGTCGTCGAGAGAGTTGCGCCTTGGTCTGACCAGCTTCGGATTAAACGGTCCAAGATTGGCTTCATTCGTGGATGAAGCACTTCTATGCAAAGTGAAATTGGGTAGCTTGAAAGAGAACTTGGGCCACTTGCGGTTGTACGACCAGTAGATAATTGGGTTGAAAACCGAGGGGAATTGGCCAAGCAAAAGGGAGTACTGCAGGTTAATGTAGGGGGATATGTTTAATTGCAGACAAAATTGACTGATTATATATGGAAACCAGCTGATAAGAAAGGCGATAGCCATAAACAACATCGAATTGGCTAGCCGTTTTCTATTCTTTAACGTGGTCCTTCTCATTAGTGATATGTCTTCTTCAACCTGCACAAGTTCTTCAGTCTTAAGATGCCTTCTATTTACTTGTGGCAACCCTGATATGATAATAAAGTTATCCCGTTGTCTAAACATTGGTATCGGGAGAGGTACTTCTCCGCAACTAGCTCTAGCTCTAAGTGACAAAGTTGTGAGCTTAAAATACACCAACAGGTAGCATGATAGCACCACGCATATCGGTATCACGTATCCCACAACCACATTCAACAACTGAAATCCTGGTCTCAGGTCCTCTTCTTGTATCAAATCGATACATGCCAAAACAAACGCAGATACCTGTAAATGAATTGTGTGAATTCTGTTTTTTTTTTGTGTTATTAGTCGTTACCCATATAATAGCGAGTAAGACTGTTGTCAGTAACTTTCTTTTAGCTTCATTATTAGTCGGCTTAAAGTTCTTTAATGTCAGATATCGGTTTATAGACAGGGCCATCATCGATATATTACTGGCTGACACAGGCCATGACTAAAATTTTTTAAAATTAAGTAATACAAAAATATAATGATTCTTTAAATTCGCAACTTTATAAAGTATACTTTTTATGGAAAACAACCCACCTTTAGTGAGCTGTGAAGAATGCCCTGATTGGTTTTTTCTCATAGAAATTGGCAAATTTTAAGAATTAATATTTCTTCCTAATTTAATAGTTTTTAGTTAAGGTACACACAAAACGACTTTATTTGACATAAAAAGGGCGAACTTATATAGTATATTTATGTATAAAGATTCGTAAACGGCATTTTAGTCACGAGTTTTAATAAGGCCCGAGCGAGTGTTTAATAAAAACGAGTGCCTAGAAAAGTTTATAAACAAGCTGCATAATGTACTTTATCTACGACGAACACTAAACAAAATTTTAAGCCAATTTTATTTGTTAAAAATTTGACATTTGACAACTGTCACTTTTTATTAATTTCTAATATAATAATAAAGCTAACTTCAGCCCGTGACTAAAAGTTTTGTTTTTAATAAAACCACTTAATTGCTGTATTACACTTAAGATCCTCGTAATAATAACCTGCATTATCCCTCGTATAATAATATAGTATATAGGTATATAATATAGTATATATTTAACTTTATACAAATATGGTATAACTAGTCAATTGGATTTTCAAAGTAACTGAAAATTCAAAGGCATTGTTAGAGCAGAATTTGCTCAACTCAACATAATGCACAATTGTTAACAAATATGCACTACAATGTCAGAAACAAGATATTAACTAATACTCTACCCTTTACCTTTAGCAACAACAAAGGTACAGAGTCTTTGAAAATAACATCAATGGCATTAGGTTATTGATTATTAAATTAATTAAGGCATTGTCTTCATAATTAAATGATTTATTTATCAGAATCAATCGATTTTTTGCCAATTAACTGTAAATTCTACTGACAGTACCCGCGCGCGCAGAATTGTGCTGAGGCACTAACCAAGCCTGCCTGAGGTACTTATTTTTAAAAAATGTGAATTTTTATTCTCAAACACATAGACGCGCTTTTAACTCGGTTTTTGGATACATGTCCCCAGAAACACCCTGTATTACTTATTAATATTTCAAGATTTTATAATAATGAACAAAGTGCAAAAGAACAATTTTTAAAGTTGTATTAAAAGAAGTTTTCCCCAGTGTAAATTGTTAATCTTCTGAAAATCAATAGGATATAATTCAGACATCAATCCTTTAAAACGTTTCAGTGATTTTTATACCAAATAGGTTTTTAGGGTTCACTTTTGGCTGTAAATTTAACACAATGATCTCATCTTACCCTTTTATCAGTTTTATATAGGAAACATTTTTTTCACCTGAGTTAGCTATAAAAGCTTGATAATAAGGTTTCATTTAAAAAAGGCAAGTTTTTTGTATGTCGTTTTGCATTTTGACTTGGATTTTCGAAAAATGCATAAAATGTTACGAAGTAATTATAGTTTGAAGGAATTAATGTTCTAATAAATTATTTGCATACTGAATAGAAACAGCACTAAACTTGATAACAAATAACGAACCTTTAGAGTTAAACGTAAAAAACTTTATTGTCTATCAAATCTGGCCTGTTTCCTAATCATTTATTAACAGGAATACTATTTCAATTTCGAAATATAAACGACATTATTCTAGCCAATTTGAAACTCTACATTTTGAAATGAAATTCCCAGCATTATTAAATTAAATTGTTTATCCAGTTTTCAAAATTTTGATGATATTCATTTAAGATTATCCCTGTTTATTTTAATCAACTTCTTGATAGATTTTTTTCTGACTTTTTACACAAGACATCTATGGCTTTGTTAGAAAAAATGATCAAATTTAAATTTCGTTACCAAAATAAAATCAATTTTCCTTTCTGTTGTTGAGAAAATTGCCTGAAAAATCCTCATATAAAACTTACTTATATCCCCTATGCAGTACGTTACTTTCCATAAAAAAATGTATAATTGTATTTTATATTAAAAAAAAAGGTTTAAAAAACCCTATACAGTATTTTTGAGACCAGAGGACTGTTCAACAAAGCCAAAACAAACCAAGATTGGGCAAACACTAGGGAAAAGTTTTCTCAGGAGATACATACTTCAAGATAGGCACATGAGACACACAACAATAAAGGAAAACTGTGGAGTGCCCATAAAACATTGTTTTTAACTTTCACTGTAAAAAACTGTTTCTATATCGGATTTAAACGGTTGTTAGTCCATTTAAAGGGTTAAATTTCGATTTACACAGAAAAAGTTGACATTTTGACCGGTAATACAGATTCCCAAGTTAGAAATTCTTACGTAAATGGTTACTCTATTTTTCATAGATGTCGCTCTATACAAATATTTAATTTAAATCAGTTTTAGATAATAATAGGTTCCTATTTGTCGTAGAAAAAGTATGGTATGCAACTCGTTTATAAACTTTTCTTTTTAATTAAATTCGTGACCAAAATGGCATAAAACTTGATACACAATATACTATATAAAAAATGAACCATTTTATATCATTAAATAAGGCGTCAAAAAATGTTTGTTTTGTTGAGATTTAATTTTTGTATTATGGAAATTGCACCAAAATGGTCAAAAACACATATTCCAAGTTTGGGCCAAATCATAAAATATTCAATAAATATATTAGATTTAGTAGAAAAATCAGGCAAAAGAATAGTAAAAATAAAAATGAAAGTTGAGTGAGAGTTTAAATATAGAATATAATGAGCTGTTGAATGAAAAGTTTGTAAAACAACAACAAATATTTACCTGTATGAAATTGGTAAAAATCAGCCAATTTTGGGAAAGGGTATGATGATCGTCTAAGACAATTAGTGTGGCTGGTCCACTTAGTCCGCAGACGAACAAATCTGCGATAATTAGTCCATAGAGGAATGGGTTGGTGGTTTGGCCTCCCGGTCCACACACAAATTTAAGTCCTAGCAAACCATTTGCCAAAAACCCAATGAAAAACAGGCAACCATAAATACTTACAATAAATTCCATGCTAAAAATTCACTCAATCAGTTTCTGTTGTAATGGAAATTTTACTTTGTACCTTTCGTAAATTTTGAATTAAGTTAGAAAACATTGAAACATGTTTACGTAAGTAAATGTTACGTAAAGGCTGGCTGCTGGGGTGAAATACATCTGATCTGTACGGTCGCCCGACACAAACTAAATTTCACCCCAGCATCATTCTATCCAGTTTTTCTCTGTTTTTGGTCGCGATTTTCCGATTGCACTCGGTTTTTGCAAAAAATTACTTTTATCTTCAATCAAATGTTTATCTCATGACACCCACTATTTTAAAAGTTCCACATTCTCCCTCCACTCCCCCTTATGCAATTTTCGTTGTAAAAAAGTTTTTACTACTTTAACCATACGACTTTTTCATTAAAGGCTTTTTACTGCCTGTTTTATTCGAAAGTTTAAAGCTCAAAAGGCACTATTTTAATGGTATTAAATTGTAAAAAAATTATGATCCGTTAAGTTTTTATTAATTTAATTGATTTTAAAACTGCATTAAACACCCTATAGAAACATCAATACAATCTTTTGAAAAGCGTTCCTTTGATTTTACATATCAAAGAGAAAATGTATTTCCAATATAACGTAAATAGAACTTGTTTTTATTTAAACATGTTGCAAAGGAAATTAAAAAAACTGCACCAAATGCATCTTAATCCTCGAAAGGACTAGTTTATGTTATGCACGTAGGAACATATGCTTTTGACATTTGAACCGCGCTGAACAACTTTAAATAATCGTTGTCAGTTTGCAAGAGCTGAACTATGCGAAACTGATATTATTAGTTAATGGAGAAATTATCAAGTTTTGCTGGAGTTTGATGGTTAAATATTAAATAAAATACATTGATTTAATAATTAATTAAAATTACGTAAATAACCTGTTGTTACGAAACAATTTTACATTGTTTTCAATTCTAGAAAATCAGTGGATTGCTCAATTGTATACCGTTTTATTTTAATAATAATAATAATAGTACATTATGTATTAAGTTTGATAAACGACATTTTAGTTACGAATTTTAATTAGGCACGAGCGAAGCTTGCCAGCGAGTGCTAAATAAAATGAAAAGTTTATTATTATTACTATACAAAATAATTTACTACTAATTAATTTAAATATTTGTATAGAACGATATTTATTCAAACATAGAGTGGCCAAAATGTAAGCATCAGTTTATCAATTTTTCAGTAGAAATCAAAATTTCGTTTACTGAATGTTGGGCTGAAAATTTGCGACTTTACTTTCGATAGAAATTATGAGAAAAAAATTATTTATCATCTTTTGTCAGTCGCTGTTATCCAGTTGTTATTTTTGCGTGGGCTTCGGCTTCAACAGGTAGTTGGGAAACGCATGTCTTCAAAATCGATAGAGGCAATTTTACATGTCCCCGCGGGTTAAATACGCATGGTTTTCATTTTACTTTATGAATATTCAAAAGATTTCTGATTTTACAAGAAAATAACGTATAGTAGTCAATCTGTAATAATTTTTGGAAAAAATTGAACACCATGTGGAGCAAATAAAATAATTTTACTTTTAAATTAAAATATAAAAAATATACCAACACAGACAAAGAAACCAATTCTCATTTATTTTAATAAAATTTTGAAATAATAGAATAGAAGTTTTGCTATTTTATTTATGGGTAATAAAAGGCATTTTTTCGTGGAATTACCATAATATTTATGTTTTAATAAAATTATTTGTTCAAGACTTAATTAAATAATTTTTTCTACTCCCACCTTTAAAATCGTACATTTTTCCTTGACACTAAGTGACCTTTTAAATACACATTGACAAGTTGTGACTTTATGGCGCTTTAGTCACGGGCTGAAGTTAGCAACAGGTTTTTAGTCAAGGGCTGAAGTTAGTTTTAAGTTAGTTGACAGTTGTCAAATGTCATACAATCGTTAAAATAAAGTTTCTTTCTTGTAAAATGATACTAAATGTGAAAATTATTATATTATCTTAATACAAAAATACAAAAGTATTAAATAGTTTCTCAACGCCAATATTTGAAAAGTTTATATGAACTTAAATTCGGGCACGGACTCCACTGTAAAGTGCTCATAAAACATTTTCTTTACTTTCACTGTGAAAAACTGTCAATTTTCAAGAAATACATTTCTTTTTATAACCTTTATAATCTGTGATTATAAAATATAAAAATTTGACACTTGACGGTGAGACGCAGATTCCCCTATTGTTTCATAGATGGCGCTCTATCATATTTTTGATTTACATCATTTTAATATAATAATAAGGTTTTTTTCGTAGAAAAAGTATAGTATGCACTTCGTTTATAAACTTTTCTATACACTCATTAATTTAAGCACTCGCTCGCAAGCTCGCTCGTACCTAAATTAAATTCATGTGTAAAATGGCGTTTATCAAACTTGATAGATAATATAATATAATAATATAATATAATATAATTTAATTTCTGATCCCGGCGCATTCGCCATTTTTGTAATTTCTTTAAATTTCATTCTTCTAAAAAATATGGAAACAAGACACAAATTTAAAAAGCATGTTATTAAATGTGCCATTTAAAAATCTTATTCATTGGATCCAAGGAAAAAGACCAAACTCTATTTATAGGCCACATTTGAAAAACAAAAGAAAAAGAAAATACCCCTACAGAATTTCCGGCTTTCCCAGAAATATATAATCGATAACCGTATTGTTGTCTTTTGGTTGATTTTAATGAATTTTGATTCTAAATTTAATGGCAATTTATCGTAACTGATTTATTGTAAATATTTAATCCTAATTATTATTCGTTAATAACTTAGCTATTATGTTTATTTATTATTTCAAAATGCACTTTTAACGATAGAAATTTTACGCACGTTGTCGGTGACTAACATAAGAAATACTTGAATAATTATATAATTAAGTAGAATGACTTGCCATAAAACATAAATTCTGTTATTAGAAAATTTTAAAAGTACCTTTTTATACCTAGTTATAAAAAGGATGGTCTTGTGACAGGATTGAAAAAAATAATAAAATTTGAGACAAAACACTGACGAAAAGGAGCCCTAAATCCTGAAGATCCCTAAAACGATTAAGTCGCTAAGCCAATTCTTATCCTACCTATTTATTTTAGTGAAAATTCTTCCCTAAAAATAATATCTATCTAAAATCAAATTATTGCATCTTTTATTATAAGTTATAATTTATAACCATTTAACCCAATTAGTAAAACCCAGGGCCGGATTTAGCATGGGGCCAGCGGGGCCACGGCCCCAGGGCCCCCACCATTTAGGGGCCCCCACCAATGGAATAATAGCTTTTTAATGAAACTAATATGAAAAAAATTGGGGAAAAAAACAAAAAATTGGGTCGGTTATACCCCGCGAATCCTGTAATTCTCAATTAATTTTTCGTAGATCTAACTCGCGGATTTTTTATTGCTGGTCCGCTTATAATCTAATATTAAAGTTAGTTTTTGTCCCAGATTTTTATTGGTACATTGGACTGTTGTGGAATATTTTCCGGTGTTTCCGAAATACTGTTTCGTGCTTTTCTTTGGACAAAAGATTGTTTTATTGTTTGATTTTGTATGAAAAACAGACAAATAATACGACTTTTGATGCACTTTTTTTCAGTTTGCGGTAAGTATTATAAATACAAACAAAAAATAGATCAATTTATATTTTACTTTTAACACTTTCATTAACAATTCTATTCTACTATCTACGTTTTTATAGTTTAGCATACGAGTTTAAAATTTCTCAGACTTGGGTAAAATGTATATAAGGTTATGTTCGTATTAATCAAAATATACAGGGTGATTCAGACTTGTGACAAAAGCTCAGGGGAAATTCCTCTCATCAAAATATGAAAAAAAGTTCCTATAAACGTGTCCGAAAATGCTTCATTATCGAGATACAGGGTGTTTCGTTTAAAAAAAATGAGTTTTTTATTTATAGCTTAAAAACGCTTTGGTTTATTGAATAATAAATGATTCAAAGATAATAAAAAATCACGAAAAGTTCCTCTAGCTTAAAAATTTTCCAGTTTTAATTTCACAAGTGTCAAAATTTTTAGAAATATTGAGGGCCCCCACCAAATGTCGGCCCCAGGGCCTCAAAACTCTTAATCTGGCCCTGGTAAAACCTAATGTTTACTTTCCATTTACTACCTAAATCGTTTATATTCTTCATAAATAATAGTATTTTATATATCATGTGTTATAAACTCCATTTGTGTCTAGAAAAATTGCATACAATACTTTTTCCACCAAAAATACTTAATATTATCTAAAAAATTATTTAAATTAAATTTTTTTATAAAGCGACATCTATACGAAAATAAAGTAACCATCAAAATATGATTATATTAAGAAAATATTTAATCCTTTTACTATAATTGCAAAATATTATCACAAAGTATTAAACCTTTTTACACGGGAAATGTTAGAATTTCTAGCTTGGGAATCAACCGGCGTTAAAATCTGAATTTTTTCTGTGTAAATCAAAATTTTTCCCTTGAAAATAGACTAACAATCGATATAGAAGCAGTTTTTCACTGTAAAAGAGAAGATAATGTTTTATGGGCACTGTACACAAAAGGCTTTATCGGTTAAATCTAGTTAACTGCACTACTACGGCAACATCAAAAGGTACAAACGTTCATATAATCTTTTCAAATATTGGCTTCAAGAAATTATTTAATACTTTTGTATTTTTGTATTGAGATAATACAATAATTTTCACATTTAGTATTATTTCACAAGAAGGGTACTTTAGTTTAACGATTATATGACATTTGACAACTGTCAACCAGTGACTAAAAACCTGTTGCTAACTTCAGCCCGTGACTAAAACGCCATAAAGCGAAAACTTAGCAATGTGTATTTAAAAGGTCACTTGGTGTCATGGAAACATGTACGATAATGGGCGTTTTAAAGGTGGCAGTAGAAAAAATTAATAATTTACAGATTTCACATCGTACGAGAGTCTCTGCAGAGGTTTCTTTGATATTATTTAAAATTTCTTTTTAATTTTATTTTGTACTTTTAATTAATGAAACATTTGGGTGTCTGACAAGGGACTGGACAGGATCTGTGCAGGTTAAATCAAGAGTTTTGGGCCGTTTCCATA